CAGCACCATGTCTGCTCAGCCTGGGGCCCGCTGGGAGAAGAGTGGGTGAAGGAGAGGAGGACAAAGAGCAGATAAACACCACTGGACATTCCAAGCAACACCTCCTCCCTCCCAATCTCTGCACACGCAGTGTGTGAAGTGGTGTAATGAAGTGTGTTTGTCTGCGTCTGTGAACCTTGGCCCCGCCGCCCCTCTTCTGCTTGACTGAAGGTGTATATTTAGTGGTGGATCTTTAAAGAAGCGACAGAAAAGGTGCTAAATTATTGAACAGTTGGTGCCAGCAGGGAAGGACAGCCCACTGAGGCTGAAGGAGGTAGGCTTATCTGGTGCTACATGCTGTTAGCAAACACAGACACACACACAAACACACACACACACACGCCTCTAAAGGCTGGTGAGAGCACGTTGTTCCTTGCTAAATCTTGCTCTAATCTTTTAAAGCAAGAAGATATTTTTTAAATAAAATGAAATAAAATCAAGCATGCTTTCTGTCGAGACTCCACATCTACTGAATGGAAGAGGGTGACCCTGGACAAAAAGATATTACAGATGCGCCCTACAGCACTACAGGAAATAGCCCAGTTCATCCTCATGTATGCTGCATTTCCTTTATTCCTTGGTGGCTCCATGAGAAGCTTCTCACTACTAGAACAGCAAACCCCTCCACTGGGGACGAATTACAGAGAGGTCAAAGACTTCTCCTCCAGTATTTTCCAGCAAAGCGCGCCCCCTCACGTGCTTTCCACCTTCTACCTCATTTGGCTTCGTGTTGAGCTTTAGCTATAGACACAACTGATAGAAAAAGTGGCCAAAGGAGGGTTCATTGTTTTAATGGCCGATGCTCCCCAGCCTCATTGAATCTGTTCCTGTAATCATTTCATGTGGAGTGAACGGCTGGAGCTGCCAGGTTTACGGCACGCCGTCTGAAGCACAATGAAACAAACGGAAGGAGCCGGCACGTGGAAACATGTCCACACTGACAGGGGAAACTAATTTACCGATGTCCAGCCGGACCAGGTAAACTGGCTGTTTTGATGATGTTATCAGCCATTTAGCCCTAACACACGACCACTTCTCAGAAAGAATTCCTCTCAAAAACAAAGGCCTTTTTTGACTGGCAGATGCGCTTGCATTCATGCCTGCCATCCATCATTCATGTCTTCCTGATGGAAGTAGGTGGCACCCGATGCCTGAAGAAAAATAGACTCCCAGATTAATAAACAAATCTCAGGCATTTGCTGTGCTTTTTTCTTGCTTTCCCTTCCCTGTTTTCACCTTTTGACTGTCTCCATGTGATGAAAAGCACGAAAGCTTGGCTGTTCATTGATGCTTGTGTGTAAATTATTTTGATGAAAGTTGTTAATAAGCCATCAGCATTCACAACACAGAAAACAGCTCCTCCTGAAGCTCGACACACACATATTGTGTATGTTTATCCCCTCTCAGGCACACGATGGTGTCCCGTGTAATCCTGTAATGCCAACAGTGCAAACGGTCACATGCTGGGTCTTCCTTTCATCTCTGCAATGGGAGCGGGTTCAGGAGGAATCCAGCCCGCTTTCTGTCTTAACGACATTACCTCTTTGGATTAAGCCGCCAAAACCAACATTAAAATATCTCACCCTCCAATAAAAGACTAATAATAAAAGACTTGGGTGGCCATTAACTTTTAAAATACAGAGAATGATGCAGCTGAAGAATTCATAATGAATGAAAAATGAAATGCACGGAAGAGGAGGCAAAAGGTGAACAAAGGCCAGGGTCGGGAGCATAACTCCTGCGGTTTAAGAGTGATTTGTGCTTCTTTGCTTCAAGCGCTCCCAGTGCCTCCTTCACAGTTAGAAACCGTATCTATCACAACCCACTCGCCAACAAACACCACTGGGCAAAACTACATGAAAGAACGAGCCACGGTGGGAACGAGAAATTGACAGAACAAAAGCCAAAAGGGTGGAGGAGCCAGCGGAGGGAGAAGGAGCCCCCACGCTTGCGTTTAACGGCCTCGTAAAGAATGTCTTCTCTGTTTTCTACGGCTGATGTGATTTTGCAGCGCCTGAAGCCCCGAGCTGACGGAGAAATGGGGTGTGTGTGTGTGTGTGTGTGTGTGTGTGCGTGTGTGAGTGAGTGTTCGCTGGGGGGGGGGCAACTGACCCTCTGCATCTCAGTGAGGAACAGATGGATCAGGCTGCTGTTAAATGGATGGAAAGCCCTGGGTTATCGTTTCCACGCAGGTTATACTCAGTCAAAAATCAATCTCACTTTAACAGATAAATCCCTCACCGGAGCTATTTTTAATATGACCGAGACTGAAAATGGATATGCCTGCATCGAACGCCGATTTCAAACAGTGTGGAAATCTAATTTTCATTGTTGTGCACGAGTGGCTGTGTGAGGTAAAGGTGGCATTTTGAAGAGGGGTGAGAATTCCAGGTAGCTTCCACTGATGAACCATCTGTTTTTTTTAACCGACTGCTTTCAGGGAGACGCCAGATCAGCAACAGCATCAAACATTTCTGTCTCAAGATCCACTGCATCCTCCCTGGAGTTGGCTGATCTATTCATTTGTTTTTAAGCCACTAAATCTCATTATCCGGCATATTCATAACCCCCGTGAAAAGATATGACATTTCTCCCCGTAACAAGATATGTAAATTTGTTGACGTCGATGTAGCCACTTGAACAGCGGTGGTGTTGTTTTGATGAGAATTGATGTGGTTTGCGTAAGCCGATTGTGTGTGTGTGTGTGTGTGTGTGTGTGTGTGTGTGTGTGTTGGGAAAACGAAAGCTTTTAACATCCAGCTAACAAGCCAGCTGAGGCAGCCAGTGTTCCTCGCCTTGCCCTGGGCCGTGCAGCATCCATCCGCTTTATCCAGCAGCTTCAGGCAAAAAAAAAAAATTTCATTTAAATTAAAGAAAATAATATTCAAACATAAGAAGCTGTTTCTGAAGGCTGCTGTCTGGAAACCGTGTCAAACACTTCAAAAGGAGACATGGAAATGAAAAAAGACCAAGCTGTCGCCCATGGACATGTGATGATGAAACAGACTCATGCATATATTTCTGCCAGTGACGCTCCCTCGCTCGTGGTCTCCTTATTCCAAATGCGCACACATATTTATTCCAACCCATTTAATCCCTCAAGTTGGACCTGAAAGTGGTGGCACGGCTAACATGTTAGCCCAGTGATATCTAAAAATGAACTCCACAGAAGGGAAGAAGCGTGGGAGGAAAAGGCTGTGAGGGGAAAAGAAAAAAAAAAAGAAAAGAAAAAAATTCAATGACCACTTTTGGTCAAAAGCAGCAGCAGTCAGCACGGGGGCCTAAAATTTAATTTCCCTAAAAGAACAACCACCTAAATGCCTATGGCGGCACTATTTTTAGCATTTTATCTTTCAGCCTCAGACTGTAGCAGTCCAAGTCAGAATGAAGTCGCTGACAGGCCACAGAGGCCCTCAGAGAGCAGAAGTGGCTGATTAAAAAGTGTCTCAAGTTGAAAAACGAAGAGGGAGGAGAGAATCCAAATGTGTTTTGTATTCAGCTGCCCTTTGTTACTGTCTGCCCAGTGCACGCTGCACTGTGTCCCTAACTGAATTTTCATGATGAGCTACTCAGAAAAGCTTTTGCCCGATGTCCCTGAACCCAAAAGGAAAGGAATGCTCCTCAGTCAGACGGCGCTCGGATGGGATCGGATGGGATCGCCACTGCAGTGCTTTGCTTTTTCTGATCAGGCCACGTCTGCCGTCAAACTCTCCACAGGTTTCCACCTCCGACGCACGCCTACTCGGTTGTACCACCCCGTCGACGCCGTTATCGACTAAACCTGGTGCTAATGAGACAGAAAGGAAGCTGACCGACATAAAAAAAAAGTAGAAAAAAAGAAAGGACAGGGACGTGTGGGCTGGTGATAAATGACCCTCTACAGCTACGCTTGGTCTACACTGTGGAGCCCGGACAGCTGTGTGTGTGTATGTGTGTGTGTGTTTGTGTGTGACTTTGTGGCACTCTGAGTTCAACTGGCTCCTTCCTGCCATAATTATTTTGGATCAGAGCAAATATGCTAACATTTTGGCCAGGAAACACGAGCCACTGGTTTAGGTATGATTAAAACTATAAATAAACCGTTGGAATAGGACAGTGCGAGTGTGGGTGAGCGCAGGGCAGCAGCATGACATCATGGGCTCCTGCGGCAGGAGATTCTGGGCCCCCCCATCTCTGCTCGTTCACAAACATCCAACAACAAATGCCGAAAGCACAATTACTGCGAGCATTCAGGGCCTCAGACCTGCCAGTCTTGATGCGTCTTGCCCGATTTGTCCAAATTCAATTTACAAGAGAAGGAGAGAAAATTAACCAATCGAATCCACGGGAAGATCAGCTGACAAAGCTAAAGTGTGCGCTCCTTTTTAGCCGACGTCCAGGCCTTTGGTCAAAGAAAATGCAGCTCCACACCATCATTAGCTCAGTTTGACCGGACATGTTGAGTAATCCTGAATCAATTTAGATTTAATCAAATTAGCATCCAACAAATTCCAGTTTCGTTTCAGGCTGAGAGCGAAGCACAGCAGCCAATTTTGCCAAATTAACTATGAGACAAGTCACTTATTCAAAACAAGTGGAAATATCTGATTTGTAAAGATTACATTTTTCAGAAAGAAAAGTCTTAGAGGCTTGCATTTCAACTTTAAGACATGACCCTGTTCCTGTATGATGGGAATGACCACAATTCTCAACATTTGTCAAATCTAATTATATCCTAATTGTTTAGGAAATAAGTTAATAGTTGATCACGGTGATGGTGCTTTCATCCTGATAATGACAGCCAGCAGTTTCAACTGAATACTTGCACTCAAACTTAACATTTAAATGGGTGTTGATTGGACACAAAAACAGAGTTCAACATGAATATCTTAAAATGCATCTTAAGGCAGTCTCAGTTTAATGAATAATTATGTTGGACAGACGGAGGGAAAGAGGGGTGAAGTATGACTGCATCCCTAAACTGACCTCTCCTCCGTGGCCATCGAAGATCCCGAAAATAGACGGATGAGTCTTGTTGACAATGTCGGTGAGCACCTCAAACCGGTCCTCCATGTGGTCTCGCCGGCCTTGGATGGAGTACACGGCCACGTTGTTGCTCTTGAACTCCCAGGTCTTGGAGAACTCCGCGTCCAGACCCCCGAAGCGCTCATTCTGCATCATCTCGGCCACTTTCCCCTTGACCATCTTCACCGCATCCCGGCTGGACTTGACGATGGTCTTCACTTCGTCCGTGTGGAAGAAGTAACTCCACAGAGCCAGGCTGATGCACAGCAGGAACAAGGTCTCCGGTCTGAGCAGAAAATAACGCATGATCCGACCTAAAAGAGATAGCAGGGTCATTGTATCCTCTATCATTTATTTATTTACACGCTGGAAGTCGCGGCAGGTTGGTTTGTTTGGGGGTTGTTTTTTTTGGTTCGCCCACGCCGCGGATTTCACTCCATCGTCGTTTGAGTGTTTGTTTAGGCAGATGTGAAACAGGTTCATCTAACCGAGCAGTTTCAGCCGCTCAACGGGAGACACCGAAGGACATCTTCGGACCTGGGGCCGCCGAACAGGAGGGCAGAGTGTCACGGATAAGCAGAGCGAGCAGGAGGGTGCTCCAGGGGGGCTTCTTTTAGCGCGCAGCCCCGCAGGAGTGAGCCACCAGCGGCTGCCCGTTCACCATCTGCCGCGGTCGGAGGACGCGGACACCTGGGAGAACCGCCGGACGCTCGGTCAGACGCCAAAAGAAAGCCCCGTGCCGGCCAGCCGAGCGAGGTAGAGTCATTGGCAGAAGCTCTCTCCGATGTGCCCTGTCAGAGTTCCCAGTCCTGAAAATAGCGCGAGCAGAAAGCCCCACATTCCCGGTGGCCACACTGACTGCGACTCGCTGCCGCTGCTTTTCTTAACGACCGTGATGCATTCAAGTGCAGCTCGGAATCTCCCCTTTCAAAAGTCCCATGCTGATCATGGTCACACCACGGTAATGATTGAAAACCAGAAATCACAGACAAATGATTGACTGCTGTCAGCCTGCCTCAACACTGATTTGAAAAAAACATAAAAAACCCAACAGTGGACACTAAAAACAGTAATGGAGATAATAGAATGAGCATGACAAAATTAAATACAAAAAATAAGTAATGGATCTACAAAAGATATAAATGCAAGCACAGGTTAGAACAAATGTAAAAGCCACAGTAACACGACACGAGTATATACATTTAACTTATTCAAATGGGTTCTTAATGTATATACTTATATTAGACAAAGTAACCACAGAAAACAAAAATCCCTACAGCAGACCAAAGTTAAATGTCCAAATGTAAAGGTGATTAAAAAGACTCATGAATCGATTCATGATTCCTCCATTGACATTGACCCTGCCCTGACTTGTTATTTAATAGAAATCAAGAATTTAAATACAGTAAAATTAAATAATCACTTGAGATTTCTCTATCTCTAACGTTTAACAGTTCTTATGCTGATAAAGTAATAAAGATGTTTTTTCAACTTTTGGCTTTGCTGTAATTTTATCTAATTTGTGCAGATTACATATAAGGTCTGAAAGGTTTCTGAAGTTAATTTATTCAGGCGCACGAAGAAAACTCAAGGGGTCCTCGCCTCTTGTGTGACGTCATTGAACTGTCCTCTCCCTCCACGGCAGGGAAAACGTGGGGATACTTTGCGTGTTGTGGAATCTCCATCAATATTTACTGCTGTATGTTGTCAATATTTAGTTTTACTGTTTATTTGTATTGTTAGTGTTAATTTGACGCTTCCTGTACATTTTTGTACGTCTCCGTTGAATATTTTTTCCTTAAATCAATAGTTTAGCTTCTTAAGCTAACTGGCACTGAATACAGCATATTAGCTGAGTTAGCTACACTACTTACAATCTGTAACGCTTCAGTCTTTGTCAGTCCTACTTTTTGTTTGTCAGGAGTTGCTGACAACAGTGTTATAATACTCCCAGTTGGGTTTGTTCTAGGTTGACGTCGTGGATAATTCAGGGCACTGACAGCGTTTCTGCCCACAGGGATCCATAAGGCTGCTGAGAGATCTGTCAAGCTCACATCAATGGAGTACATGCAAGCTCCTGCTACTAGCAGCCAGGGCAACATGTAAGTAAAACGTTTGTTTTTAGATCCGCTGTGTTGAGCAAGTGTCAAGAGCTTGCAGAGTTTTCCGAAAACGTAGGAGAAAAGCACCTCTAATTGGATGGGTTTGATGATGACCTGATGATGTTAATGCATTCAATGCTTGCAAAATCAAAAAGTTTGTCAGAAAACCCACGTGTTCATTATTTTTTGTAAAATTTAGACAAAGGATCCTTTCCCAATGTGAATTTAATCAATAAACTAAATTGATTGAATTCCAGAGATTAATTGCAAATCACTTAAATTCTATTGTGCAATTAATCTAAACTTGACCAAGCAGCCACTTTCAGGAGGAAAGCCTAATTTGATAGGCATAAGGAATCGCTTAATGGTTTGATGATAATGAAATGTGGATTAAATTAAAAACAGACCAAAATCTGCTATTATTGTGGGCTATTGATTTTAAGTCTCAGCATCATCATTTAGATCAAAGTTAAGTGCAAGAGATGATACAAGACTGAAGACGCAATAATCCTAGACACAATAATAGGATGTAGAAGTGTATTAATTTTACATGCAGCTGTTGTGGACTACTTAATAAAAAAACAATTTTCCTGAACAGTTGTTATGGTCATGGTAATTAGTTATAGAGACCAAAACTTTTTCTTACATTTTTTTTTTACAAGGCTGTAATTATGTCTATTGTGCGGGAAAGATCATGAGGTCAGTGGAGACCGAAATGGAGAATATGTGATGATTCGTTGTCCTTTCTCCAGAAAATCCTTTGCTCTATTCACATGTAAGCACACTGATCTCAGTAGATTATCTGTACACATTGTACAATATGGGTGGCAGGGTAGTCTCTGCGTGGATTTTACAGATGTGTGTTTTAATTTCCCTCCAGAACAAGTTTTTCTAGAATTACAACAAACTTAGTGAAATAAGTCTTGATCAGCAGTAATGTATTGTGCTCCTTTTCACCGAAAAGGCCAAAAAAAACTCATCCAGTGCATGTTTTCATTCAGAACAAGGTCGGAATTCCCACAGTAGTGATTCATATTTTTGATAAAGATGGTTATCTCCTTGGCAGCCTGTGTTGCACCTGTGGTGTCCCCATTCCTCCCAACCCGGCCAATATGTGTGTGGCCTGCCTGCGTACTGAGGTAGACATCTCGGAGGGAATCCCCAAGCAAGTCACTGCACATTTCTGCAAGCAGTGTGAACGGTTTGTCATCTGAAATTCTTTTTTTCAAATACGTATGATATCAGAGTTTCTCTGACTTGTAGCGAACCTCTTGAGCTATTTCATCATGAGTGACGATATTTCTCATAAATGCAGGTATTTGCAGCCACCAGCAACATGGGTGCAATGTGCTTTGGAGTCGAGGGAGCTGCTAGCCCTTTGCCTGAAAAAACTAAAGAGTTCTATGAATAAAGTAAGACTTACAGACATCATAATCACAAATAAAAAATCAATTGAGACGATGCAAAACCTCTCTACCTAAAGAATATTTTGGATAATTTTTTAAATATAAATATTTAGTAGCTTTTTTATTTTTTATTTTTGGTGGGTGGAAGGAACTTTACAGGAACAAGATAGAATAAATTCAGGGGTCTTATTCCAGTGACAAATCGAACTAATGAAGAAGGGCTGTGTGATTTCACTTGGAACTTATAGGTGCGCCTCATTGATGCTGGCTTCCTGTGGACAGAGCCTCACTCCAAGAGGATTAAAATGAAACTTACCATCCAGAAAGAGGTAAGCAAAGTGTAGAAAGTGATAAGCGTGAGAATGTCACACTCAAAACAGACTGGTGAGCTGGAATGGGTATTTTAAAATGTATTTATTTTTTAATATAACAATATATGGGCATCTCTTGTAGGATCTAATTGGCAGTTGATTGCACTGCACATCATTAAGCAGTAAACATAAAAATAAGGATGCTTATGTGCATGGCTGGTTTTGAATTACAATTGGCAACACATGCAGAGCAGAGCGACAGATCAGTCTGTTCTGGACAGGGTTATGTTTGTTTGAGAGTAATAAGTCTTGCCATTGGCTGTCATCTCATCCCCTTGACATTTAAGGAGAACCTGAGCCCTTGTATTTTTTGGTGCCAACTCTTTTGTTTGTGCTGAAGGAGAGCTTTAATACCCCCTGCGAATGGAAGCATATAAAAACACCCTTTCTTTTTATAATCAGGCGACTTTGTAAATGTCACTTTCAAACAGGTTTTTTTTGTGTGTAATTTTTGGTAATTTTCTGCCATTCACGACGAGCATTTGGTTTAACCTGCTGCTGTCTTCTACAGGTGATGAACGGCGCTATCCTGCAGCAGGTGTTTGTGGTGGAGTTTGTCATCCAGTACCAGATGTGTGACGACTGCCACCGTGTGGAAGCCAAAGACTTTTGGAAGGCGGTGGTTCAAGTTCGGCAGAAAGTAGGCATCTCTGGTCCATTGAGAGATCCTATTAATGGGCTTTCTTTTAGGCTGTATTTTTGGCCGCTGTTTCCTAATTTTGTGCGTGGTTTAAATAACGGTTATGATTTTAATTTAAAATGTCTCATTTTAGTTTGCTTAGTAGATAGAAAAGTGGAGAAATGATTCCACATTTATCTTTCAAGACTCAAGGTAGTCTGTAAATCTTAGAGCATGTACATGGAAGATACTAACATTTTGACCATTTAGCAGGAAATGTGTCACAAAATTACACAGTGATGTGTGGACCGAGTTAAGCTTAAGCTTCTGCTCCAGAAAAAGTCAGTAATTCAGGAACATACCTGCATCCATTTCGAGAGATGCACAGTGCATCAGTTCTGTTTTAAGATGAATCAACACCCTCTGCTTCACAGTACGAGAGTCTGAAAAAAAGCTTTGACCTGGTAGCATCCATAGAGAAAATTTGAATTAACCACCCACTTACACACTTTGTCCCAGGGTTATTTTTATCAACCTCCCTTTTGTTATAAAATAAAAATAAAAACTTTTAACAGCTATAGTCGAGTACATTATTAACTTCAGTGTTTTACAGAGAATTTCAAGCATCAAAAAGCTGCTGCATATCTGACATTCAGCATCATGAAATGATGAATATGAATCTCTGTATGATACAGTTTTTATTTTCCTTTTTTAGACTGTTCATAAAAAGACATTCTACTATTTAGAGCAGCTGATCCTAAAACACAAACTCCACCAGAATGCCCTGAACATCAAAGAAATTCACGGTAGGTTGACAGTCGATATTCCATGTTGTTATTTACCGGAGGGGGTATTTTGGGGGTGGGACCGATCATAACGACATGTGTAGTGTTAACGAACACTGCTTGCACCAGACAGCTAGCCATGCGTGCACATCACTGGCGCCAGCCCCTTCATACGGCCCTCATCATGTGGGCCTCACAGGGGCACACGTTGGGCATCTAATCAGTGCGCTGTAATCAGAGCAGGCACTCAATAGCAGATCCTTGCAGGGAAAGTTCCCCTCATAGCCCGTTCAGAGATGCTAAGTGCTACTTCGCACACACAGGCGCACGCAGTGCGCTGAATGACAGCTCAGCAGCTGCTTTCAGTGTTCTTGTGTAGGAATGTGAAGGGGAGTTTGGCCCAATGGTATGATTCAAATCATTTCCATGTCTCACTAGGACTTAAAAGCTTTATGAAGGCTACAACATATGGCCGCCATATTTTTCTTCCCTATTCATCTGCTTTGCCGTGCATATTGTGTGTGTGTGTTTGCGTGTGTACTCTAGCAGTGATGGCCCATGAGGAGCCCCTGTGATGAATTTATTGGCGGAGAGTGTTTGATGGCTTTGCTCTTTTTCTGGCAGAGGGGATTGATTTTTACTATGGGTCCAAGCAGCACGCACAGAAGATGGTTGACTTTTTGCAGTGCACCGCGCCCTGCAGGTGAGTGTTGCTCCAGCCTAAGCGCCACCTTTCCCGTATCCAAACTGTTATCTTACATCTAGAAGTTACGCTGCACTCCACAAAATGTTTGAGCTAATGTGGAAAACATTTGCCTGCAGCGGTTGCCTGCTATGTTTAGAGTGCTGTGAAATCCATTACTTGTCAGAAGATGCTATATATTGATTAAAGATGTAGCTTTTTTTCTGTTATGTAATTCGTTTTTATTATGGCACTGAGTAGGGAGTTCAGCTAAAGTTGAACCAACCTCTGTAGTTTATATTTGTTAACCTGCTCAGTGTGCTTCTTTTCCACAGCTAAAGAAAATCTTCCATTTATAAACGTCTTTCTTTTTTTTTAGGTCTAAAACATCTCAGCGTCTCATCTCTCATGACATCCACTCGAACACGTACAACTACAAGAGCACCTTCTCTATAGAAATTGTACCTGTGTGCAAGGTATATGTTTAATTCAGTGATCGTAGTCAGTCATCCATATCTGCACAGCACATCAGCCAGATTTAGAATGGCATGTCACCTCTTAAGCCCTTGCTTTGCGAGTTCAGTAAAGGATATGTTAAAAAGCGGTCTGTTGATCTGCTCAGATGCAGCAGATGGCCAAGAATCTTCATGTTTATAGATATTCTTTGACGGAGTCAGAAACACCTAGATTAATAGACTTGGCAATGATATGTAAGGAAGGATAGTGATTCTTGGCTGGTGTGTACAATCGTTTTCTGTTGCTTCTTAATCCTGTTTGACATTTAGCTTTGTTTGAGCCTTTGATATCTCTATACAGACTCTGGGTGGAGTCCCCATTGCATAGTTTAATGATAGTAGACGTGCAGAAGCCTATTCTGTGAATGAAAACATCCCTTCTCTTGAGAAACAACCAATTTAGTCCTCCTGTAGTTTTCTTTCTTCTATATTTGCTAGGCTTACTTTGACCCCAGGTTTTCTGCTTTTGTGTCGTTGCCAGGACAACGTAGTGTGCCTGTCCCCACGGCTGGCTCAGAGCCTGGGGAACATGGGTCAGATCTGTGTGTGCATCCGTGTCACCAGCACTATTCATCTCATTGATCCTCGCACCCTGCAGAGTGAGTATTTGGACTTCCAGAGATCAGATATGTCTTTCTGCTGCGGTTTAACGTCTGAACTGTGAGCTGTGCATTGCAGCATAAAGTTACCCAAGATTTACCTTTTGTCCTTTCTTAAAAATTGTTTTTATGGTTTTATTTAGCTCATGTGATTCAAATTTTTACTACCTTGCTATATCACACAAAATGATTAAACCTTCATTTTATTCAAAACGGAAAGAAAAGGATCATTTGATATTAGAATGAACTGAAATGTTAGACAATTAAATCCCCTGGTTGTTAAAATATTAGCTCTGCTTTAAAAATGGTGATCAGTGATCTGGTTAAAATGATTATAGTTATTAATATACAGCATAAAAATCCCAACATGAATACCACGCATCAAAACATTGTTGTATCTTTCCATGATAATAATTTCACTTTGCACATTCATGGGGAATTAATGACTACTTTTTAGCAAGACTTATTCAAAAAGTTGGCAGAACATTTATATTTTTTGAGCATCAGGTGCAGTCACTTTCTATGAGAGGTGGACACACTTCTTGGCAGTAGTAAAACTTTTTCGCAGCAGCATACATGTTTGGAATTACTCCTAAAAGATAAAAGCCATTGTTGTAGAAAGTTTGTGAGTTGGCCTGGACTCTGCTCAGCAGCCTGGCAGCCTGTTTAATAATGGCACCAAGCAATTAACCTGTGTGTTTGTTTACACACACTTCATTTGCAGCACACGGGAGAACATATCCTGTCCGTCATTTGGAGCTTGAACAAGAGCAGAAAACAACTTATTGACAAAAGTTTTATTTATTTATTTTTACAGTCTGCACCCACAAAGGTTATAGAAAAATAAACTTGACATATCTCCTAAGTTTTTATTTTCAGTCATATTATTTCTACTTCTGTGAAATTGGAACATTCTTTGCTCTGATAACATTTTTTAAATCAACAGTACTGTTAGTAATGCATAAATAATCCATAACTTCCTAGTTGCTGAGGTGGATGGGAACACATACTGGCGTCACCCCTTCCACAGTCTTTGTAACCCACGGCAACTGGAGGAGTTCATCGTCATGGACACCGACATCATCAGAGACCAGAAGCTGGGTGCTGGAGCTGGTATAAGGTCCAATAAGGTAAGGCCGTGTGGCTGTTGGTGCAGAACAGATTGCATTAGGGGACAACATTGCTCTTCTTTCGGAGGCAAAATCAATAGCAGTCCATTACATTATCCCTGAACCTGTGTGTGGGGCCCCAGCCAAAATGACTGAGCCACTCAGGAGTGTTTCTTTTAATGGGGAATGAGGTTCCCATCCGTCCTCTGTCTGAAAGTTGGGCCGTTATCGATGCAACTGCCTGAACCAACTGGAAGAAAAGAATGTGCTGTTGTTGTTGTTTCACTAAACTGCATTCCTTTTGTGTGTGTCTCTGTGTGTGTATTTGTTGCAGCACACCCTGGCTGAGGTGTGGGTTCAGAAAACATCAGAGATGGATACGAGTCAGCAGTATCACTGCCGTACCTTCCTGGGCCACCTGCTCAACATTGGAGACCTGGTGCTGGGGTGAGTGTGTGGGAATACAGGAGTTAAACTATTGATCATAACACCTGTGGCCAGCTTTGACCCTTGACTTGGGACCCAAGCTTATCTCATCCCCCTGGCCCTTCCCCTAAGCTGCTTGACTTTTTTTGTGGACTTTTCTTCCAGGATTGTTTCTTCTAAATCGTATTTGAACCAGTAGAAGTCAGAAGACATTCCTTGAAAACTATATTGGGACATTTAACAGACATCATAAAAACCAACTTGTTCTGCTTTAATAACAATTTATTTTTCATATCACAGGTATGACTTTGCTAACTCCAACGTTAACGATGAGTTCCTGAATAAGATGAACCCTCACCATGTTCCTGATGTGGTAAGACTCGGCTCTGGTTCCCTCTGCATCCTCAGTGCACAAGTCCAGTTTAGTCCACTAGAAAAACACTGACCTCTAGTGGCAACATAAAATACTTATTTTTGTTTTGATTTGCATTCTGAAGAAATGAACTCTTGCAGAGAAATGCAAGGTATCTGAACATTTGCGCTAATAAACGATTTCTGCATGTGGCCTGTAAAAGGTGCTCATTAAGAAGAGCTACGACCGCAGCCGGAGGGTGAAGCGCCGGAACTGGAAACTGCAAGAGATGGCCAGAGATCGGGACGGCATGGACACAGATGATGAGAGGTAGGCCATTACTTCCAACTCTTTGGAAGATTAGCTATGGGGTATTCTGCAGCTCATGACCATGACTTCAGAATAGTTTGATAATGCGCCAAGAAAATACTTATTATCCCACAGATCATGTTTTAAGCTGTCGTGCATCATGGATATCCTCTAATGGTGTTTTCTATGTTCAGACAATACCAGGACTTCCTGGAGGACCTTGAAGAAGATGAGGCTTTGAGGAAGAATGTCAATATCTACAAAGGTGAGCAGATTGAGAATGCCGGCTTAATTTTCCCAACAGTCTGCTGAATGCCTGCAGAGCTTCCTATTAATGTCTCTTTTGTCAGACTGAGGCTCAATAACTGACAACAGAAGCTTAGGTTTTTTTACTGACCCCGTGGCATATATTGTTTTTTTGTTTGTTTTTTTGTAGCTGTTAATGAGCATCTGTGGGTTTTCTTCCTTTTCAGATGCCTCAAAGATCCCAGTGGAGAGCGACACGGATGATGATGGTGCACCACGCATTTCTCTGATGGAGATGCTGGAAGAGCTCAGCCTGAATGATGCCACAGGAGGAGACGGTGCTGACATGATGACAGACTAGCTAGTTGTTTTGCTCCCTTTGTGGCTCTGACAGCTGATTAGTCACAAAGGGGGGCCAGTGGTGATATAGCGATGCAATTAAACTCCCAGTCCTGATGAAGACCTGGCAGCAGACTGAGGGCCGAGTATACAGCTCACAGCTATTGTTTGATTCTTACTCAATTCACAGATCTCAACTAACAACTCTCAATGTTTAGACCCCGTAAACTATGACTGTCACTGAAAAAGTGACCCCTTTGAGGTGATTTTTTTCATCCTTTCTTTATCCACTTGCATTAGTGGAACTGTTTCTGCTCTGTAATCCCAACTATTTCAGCTTTTCTGTTAGCACTCATCTTTATCATGTAAAAAAAATCAATGATAAGAATACATAGTGCTTATATTTAACTACTAAATAAACATTTGCCCCTAATATACATTTCCATTGGGCAATTTATTGTTTGAAAAGCTTGCCAGACATCCACCAGAGGGAGCTTTGAGCTAAAAAAAAAAAAAAAAGAATTAGGAAAGGGCCTCATGCAAATAGATGCACTTGCAGTAAGCTGAGTTAGGTGAGTTAAAGGTGTCATTTGGATACTGTGGCGGTATGCAAAACCTCACACAAGCCTGTTCAACCCTTTACTGGTGATAGATATTTCCATTATTTTTTTATTGGAAATGGAACCTATTTTATTCATCCACTAAGGGGGGAAGATTAAGAAGTACACCAATATTTAAATGATCACTTTAATTAAAAAGTTCCAAACTAGATATGTGTAAGAAATAAGTGGTAAATTATTTCATGTTAGAAAGTCTTAATATCTATGTGTAATGGTAAAGTCTAGGAAATAATCCTTAGATACACTTTAAAGATTACTTTCAAAACAAACTTGCGAAACATTTAAAGAGAACCTTTACTGGAAAGTAACATTTTAACATCACAATTGTATTTATTTTTTTGCATGGCAGGAAGCTAAAAAAATAAGCAAAATTCCTAAATATCTGAATGGCTGCTGGAACCTTCATGGGAGTTTGCCTTTTGTCATGAGCCCTTATTTGAACTGCTCTTCAGATGAATGTGTGCATCGCAGGGTGTATAAGTCTGTGACATGTCTCACATTTTAACTTGAGGGTGGAGAAGAATCTTTCTCGGTTTTCACAAACTTGATCTGGTTGTTAACGGTAATCAGAGCTACTTGGGAAAGCGAACGAATGCGTGTGCATGTTTTTAAGGCCAGATTTTTTTTGGCTCTGCAAAGTTTTCCAGTATGTCAAACACAAGATGTCTGAAGGCAAACGTGGTGTTGACAGTCTGATCTGAGAGATTCTGAAAGGTGATTCATTTATTTTTGGTCTTGATAATGATTTCCAAAGTTCCAGGTCAGGGCTTATCATATCGGGGCCTATTTCTCATACAAATCTTTGGCAAAGATCTCTTCAGCATTCTCAGACCTTTGCTTCTGGTGCTAACGGAGTGTATCCAAGCATAACTGGTGCAGGCACTGCCAGTGTTTACACATCAATAACTGGAACGTCAGCAGAGAGCTGGTCAGCAAACCTGACATTAAGGTTTTCCAACGGTATTTTTTTGCTGATCCTCCTGAGCTCTCCATCCAGAAAGGAAGTGTGTGTGAGATGCTTTCCCACACTGTATTATTCTGCCACAAAACATAGAAAAAATGATCACGTCAAGATAATAAATGGCCCTTTTATGAAACAATCTCAGGGAGGGCTGGTGCATGTCTTAAGACTTTTTCTTTTAATGAGTTGCTGCTTGGTTTTTATAGAGGAGTCTCTAATAATGAGCTGCGTTAGTGGTCAGTTGTCGGTATGATAACGGGATGGGACAGTTACTGAGACACGCCGCGTCCCAGACGGGGGTTGGTGCTGGCAGCTTGTTTTGCGCCCTGCTGCTGCGGACTACGTCAGGGGTGGTGCTGCAGCGCGGTGGGACGGATGCGACACGGACAGGGGGCGAAAGTTTAAAGATGCGGCGCACAGCAGCCGACCTCCAACGTCTGATCCTGATCCTGATCCTGATCCTGATCCTGATCCAGAACCACCGCCACCGCGCCTCCGACGCGCGGACCGCTCCATCCGGACGCCGCTAGCGCGCACCGGCCTTTTGCGTCATCCTGGAGCTCCGTCGGTCCGCCTACGTGATCCGTGAGCCAGGTGAGGGTAGGCAGGAGTAGTGGGTGTGGTTCCATGCTCGCTGTCTGTTTGGGGACCGCATATATGCCAGAGGCGGACTGGTGAGGCGGCTCTTCGTTGGCAGGAGGCAGTGGATCGGCGTGGGACGCCCGTCCTGTTACTCTCTGTCATCAGTCTGTAGGTGTTCAGGGGATCTCACGTCGGCTGCAGAGGTGAGTCGGTAGCTGCACGAATTCGGTTATATGAAAGACAAAACACTTTGCCGAAAAGCTTAAGAGTGGTCCTTACGGTTATGATCATTATTATTTTTAATGATTGCCCCTGTATGCACAGAGTTGATATTATCTATCATTTAAACTGACTGCAATCTGAAACCATCTTATTTTCAAAGCCGAACAGGGATTTTTATTTTCTTATTTGGATGAAAAAGAGTATTTTTAAAACCTTTAAAACTATTCTACTGGTTACCTCGTGTTACAAATCACAACATCAGAGAACATTTATGATTATTTACTCAGGCTGATTTCTGTCAGTGATTCTGATAATTGTTTGGGGGTGTTGAAGTTGTGTTCTCTATTCTCCCTGGTTAGAATAACAGGTAACACACCTGCACCTGTTTGCTCTGCCCACAGACACTGCAGCAGGAGCCTTCTATTACGCGTTTAATGGAGCGAACACATTCTACACAATGTAAACAATGCACTCAGAAGGCCTTTTGTGAAAATGTTAACGTGTCCGTTTGGGTCTTGTAATCTTTTATGTGAGTGAAGACTTTCATTTGTGGTATAACTAATTCGTGCCATTGAAATACACGTGCCTAGAAAATATAAATGACGGCTGTTTTTATGTCATGTAGCACCCAAGGGCTTAATTTATCCCCTCACACAACAACAGAATCATATGGAAACCACTATACTTGTTTGATTGCCCCCCCAGGGCAATCCTGGGGGTTTTAGGTGTCATCCAGTGCCCCTTTACACCTGAAGGCAACCACTGGGGATTTATTAATCTTTTTTTATTATTAGGCTGATTATTTCCTCATGTACTCCCTCATGATTTAGGGTAAAGCAGGTAAACTACAGCCCCATCAGTGCAAGGACATCTGAAACAATATGAAAATGACAAAATAAGCCAAGCACAGAGTTTGATATACTCTCAAATAATTGCCTCATGTTTACGGAATTTGTTAAGTGAAATTGTGTTTGCATATTTTACTATTTCATTTATATGCTTATTATTTTCTGTGAAGAAATTATCAAGCTTTGCATACACACTATGTATTTCACGGAGACTAATAACCATATCTCAGAATCCACAGTTTTGTTTTTTTTACCACGTTGAATCTTTTAGTTAATGACAAGATGATTAGAAAAATGCAGATCAAGTACGGCTTGATTGAAATTGTTCTCCCGTTGAAAGCCTTTCAAAGCACATCGAGGCACAGTATAGGTTTGCAAAGTTAGATTAGAACAAAACACTGTATGGAATACAGACGGACTGGACTGGAGATGTTTTGTCATCACACAGAGTCCATAGTTTATGTAAGTTCCCAGGCACAGACATCTAAAACCCACTATCAAGCACGGTGGAGCAGGGCTGAAGATATTGGCTTGTTTGGCAGCCACAAAACTGGACACCTTTGAACCAAAAATATTCTGTTAACCATAGTATTCTTGAGTCCATTGTGTGGTCTTGTGTGTGCTAAAGCCTAAAGAAAAAAAATGGGTAAGAAAAAAAAATGGGACTAGGATCCACAGCAACAAACTCACAGCATTTTACCTTCATTTCTTCACCCAGCCTGCAGGATGAACTTCAAAAACTTGAGAGAGTACCTGGCCTGGCTGTACTACCAGTACCTGCTCATCACTGGGATATATGTCCTGGAGCCATGGGAAAAGTCGGTTTTTAATTCCATACTGTTTTCTGCGATTGCCATGGTGATCTACACCTCGTATGTCTTTGTTCCCATCCATGTGCGTCTGGCGCTGGAGTTCTTTTCGGGAATCTTCGGTGGCCAGCCTGAGAGCACCATGACACTCATGAACTAACATAAAGGAGGAAAAAAGAGGATGAGAGAATGGGTGTCTTAGCATGAGCCTGTAAATAATTTCTTGTAGCTCAACCCTTCAAACTCCAGATTTTTGCCAGCACTTTTTTTTAACCATCTGAACCAGATAGTCTCACTGCAGTTCAAAGATCTTGCAGGAAGGATCTGGAAATCAGAGCCTGACTGTCTTCTTTTACATCCCACACCCCAGGGCCTTACCTCATGGTATTAGTCAAATAACTGTACCTTAATTTCACAATCTGCCTGTAACATGTCTTGTGAAATGTTTGTTTTTACTTTTCTTTATGTGTCCTGTGTGATCGTATACCACATCCAGTTTTTTGCATGATAGGCTCACACTTGGATGTTACATTTGTATGCTTGTTTAACTTCAAAATGCTTTTAAATTCATTCTTCCACATTACACTAAGCCACAATCTTTAGAGGGACACTCCAGTAATCTATGCTTGACTTTCATGAGAGCTGGGGCTTGACAGAGATATTATGTCTCACAAGGAAACAAAGGTCTTAAAATGTAATTAGAGTGACAAAATTAAAGTAACTAAGTAGTAAGTGTAAAATTGATGGATTGTCCCTTTAAGTATCTGTGGGTTTTCTCATATGCTTACCATAGTTTAGTTCAGTTACCATAGTTTAACTGAACATGAATTTCTCTTTGATGAATAGAGATTGTTTTAAAGTTCCTCGCTACGTTTCTGACATGCATTTAATGTTACTGTCTTATGTAAAAGCGGTAAAAAAAGACAAAAAAATGCCTTTATGCACTGTAATGCAATGCTAACTGACAGGATACAATGCATGTCATATATGGAGACATGGCGTCACAGCCCATAAATGATAACGTTGATGGGAAAACCGAGCTACACAATCAATTAAAAATGTCACGATCAAGTCTCTGTTACACAGTTTGCTCAAAGCCTACAGTATGAACATAGATTGAATGGACAAATTATGTGATAACACAAAAACCACGTCATAGTTATGTGCCGAGGCCTCTCTTTATCTCCGATTTTTTACTTGCTGATTTTTCAGGATGGTTGTTCTCAGCACTGGGCATGAGCAAATATTGATACAACACGCCCATGTGTTTCAGGCTTGGTCTTTTTAATGGCATAGCTTCACTGAAGAACCGTTTCCTGTCTCATGCAAAATGCTAAGATAATGAAGGAAAATTGGTCTAAAAGAAAAACTGCAAACCAAAATATCTGTCTTCTCCACTTATATTTGATCTATAGAGTATAAACTAGAGTATGAGGTACAATTAGTTTTGTTCTGAAGATTATCTTAAATAATTTGTTTTTTAGGATGAAGGGCTCACTGAAAGCAGGTTAAACATAATCTTTAAGTTAATTTTATTTATACAAAGGTATATATTTATATGAACTGGTAAATGCTTGGCTGGTTACAATGTCAATTACCAAACTTTTTTTGATTATTTATATCTGTGTTCTCTTGTGGCCATAACTGACACATAATTTGTTCTTAATTTTGTTTCCTCAACAGTGCTTTTTCTTTTTATTGTACCCAGGTTGTATTATATCCCCCCCACTTTTAATAAACAGTCATTTCAAGTCCCTAAAATTAAGGGTTTGAAGCTCTTTTTTCCGCTGCTCTCCAATGAATGACTTCCTTATACATGTTGGCGACACATTATTGCAATTTAGACATAAAGGAATAACATCATACTTGAACAGCTTGTCTGTGCCTCATCTTTGTTGACTTTTTACACAAATGATTGGAATAGTTTGAACAATGTACTGTATCCATGCAGGATATCCTCCGAGTCTTGAAGTGCAGTTGATTTGAAAGGGGCAAATGAAAAGAACAAAAGCCTACAGATTGTACATACCTGACCCAAAAGATTGAACCACATGAGGGGTATTCACACAATAAGGGGCTGGGCTACCAAACCAGTTTTCCTAAACTTGAGTAAGAATGAATGGCCTTGGGCTCTGCTTTCCTGCGTGCACACACCTGGTGACCTGCCCATGCCCACAAAGCGGCGGTGACTCGAGGGCAGCCATAACCTGCTGCTTTGCTTTACAGCTTTGCCCAGTTTATGTAGAGACGATTGGAGTAAATTGGGCTTAAATTCCATAAAACATTTGCACCGCATATGTGCAGATATTATGGGATGAGTTGGATCGGGGCTCAGCAGCATTTTAGCTGTGATTCTGTTGAAGTGTGGGGGCTGGTTTGGTAGCCATGCTTATGAGTTGTAACTGAATGCCTCCACGCTGTATTTTTTCAGAATGTTGGAACACGATATCTGCAACACCCTCGTTTGTCAACTTGCACACCCAGATACCAAACCTGTCTGATCTCCAGAAAAGCCTACCAAAGGTCCCTGTCTTTCCTTTGGTCATGCCCATTCTTTTTTCTTTTCCTTGCTTGTTCTCATATCATCCCTTTTCCTCCCACATAAAAAGGCAACATTCAGTATTTTCTCAGACTATCCTAAGTTGGGCCTGAGGCTATTTAGTTTGTGCCTAAGGGTCTTTCAGGATCCATTCCGTTGGCACCATCCCATGTTAGGCTGAGAAGGAGGTTGGGGGTTATCTCTGTAATGGTAAGGTGTAAACAAAGCCATCTTTACTCTGCTCTCACAGCACTCTGTGGGACTGGTGTATTGTTTCTGTTGTGTTTATATGTCTCCTGTGACTGTTTCACCCAAACAGAAAAGGTCCGGGAGAAGGGGGAGTGGACTCCTAGTAACTGTCCCGTCTCCAAACAGACTTCACGACACGGAGAAAAACACACACGTACGTGTGAAACCTTGCTGCCACCACAACTTTGTATCATTTTACAAGGAAACCCCAGAGTGTTCAAATATTGATCATAATTACCTGCATTAACATTTGAAACTCTGTCTCACACAAACACCCGTGCACTGCTTTAATAGAAATACACAGCCCTAGGCAATAGTTGTGTGGCCATGGCCTTTTCAACACACAATGCTTATAGACAGTTAACCAGAGTCATCAGAGCAATCTTAATCTAAATGGATAAATGGTTTCTTGGTGGACAAGCTAAAAATAAAAGCTATTCAGAAGGGGGCACAAGAAGACCCTTTTTCTGGTGTAATTCATTGGGACAATGCACTGACTGCTATTCATAAGACAGCAAAATCCAAACCTAAAATAAGGCTTGGTTGCCAGGTGTCATTAGACATCTTACTGTGCGAATTAGCTAATTTAAAGTGTTCAGTGACATTGACTAAATCAACTAAATTTATACTTTTATGCACCAAATGCAAAGACCTCTCCTCTGCTATGGGAATAGTAATTCTTTAGGACTCAGCAGGACTACGCACCTTTGAAGAAAAAAAATGCTTTCATGATCTGTTCAAAATCAGAAGATTGTTTAGGCTTTAATGTACACTCTGAGAAAAAAAACTCAGTTTCTTGTGAATTTTACATTTTTTATTTATTGGAAATGATAATGAAAGTAAGTGTTTCTTCATCAGTCTTTTGGTGGAACTTCATTCTAAAATCATCAAGATGTTTTACAGTTATAGCATAACACAGGAATACTTATTACATCCCTTCACTGAATGATAGATAGTTTACTTATTGTAGTTACAATCAAATACAATATAGATGCAAGTAAAAACACAAAGTGGAAAAAAAAACTGTACAGAAAAAAAAAATCTACATCAATAGTTTATTAACTGTGTATAGTAATTGAACCATTAAACATTTAACAGTTTATCAGTAAATGCACACAGAGTCAATCTCTTTCCTGATTTAACAAACAAGTGAACGATCTTCCAATTGACCCTTAGACTTGTGGGTATGCAGCATAGTGTTTTGTGAAACCTGTGTCATCAAATAAAAAGGCAGTACCTTGGTATTGCAAAATTTGTTTAGAGGGAACACTGTTTGTACTGCTGGGTGTGTGTCTGTCTGCTACGCTGTTTGGGACAAAAGATTAATCAGATACCGGCCAGTACATTTCCCTATGATTTGATCTGGGGTTTTTTTTGTTTTTATGTGAAATGCAAAAACATTTGGACTTTGGCAAACGTCTAATACAGATGCATTTGTACGTAAGGGAAAGTAGTAACTTTGATGATATATTCAGACCTCTAATACATCAGATACTAACACATCCTCTTATCATGTGGGTGTGGGTCAGCACATTATATTTTGACCGATCTTTGTGTAATCAAACAAGCTTTGTATTGTGGAATTTAGAGTCTTGTGCAATAAGTGCCATTCTTAACTCATGATAGAAGAGCAAACGTCCCATGTGACACACCTCTTATTCTACAGTATAACTTATGAATGGGTCAGTATGAACATGGGAGTGGCTGATAAAATCCAGTCGACCACAGTTAAAGCCAATTGCTGAAAGGATCAATGGACTGCTAACACAAAAGAAAATAGCCAGATGTGGCTTCTTGTAAGAACTGTTGTGTGACTCAATATTAATCCGAAAGTTCACTATTCTTTAAGTATGTACAAAACCCATTTAAAAACTAACATTAAATATATTTCTGAATATTATCAGTTGGACTTGCTCTTGAGTTTGAGGAAGTTCATGATTGAACTGGAATAAAGAAGAAGTGTGCCACCAAGTGGTCAAATTGATAAAAATCAAGCAAATCTCAGTATATCAAGCGTGTGATCACCAGAAAAAGAAGCACCCCACCTCCACTGATCTCTGAATCTACTCGCATTCCTCTGATATAAACCGCTTGTCTGCATTCCAGATGATCACTTTGGAAAGACATGAACACATTTGTTTGCTCAACCAACTTCAAGAGGATTTAAAGCCTTTTACACAAGATAGTGTTGTCAGAGAAAGTGTGGCAGAAGAAAGTGGTTTAGTACTTTGTCTACATGACCACATGAGAAGTACCCTCACTGCCAGCACATCCCTTGCCAAAGTCATTAGCTGTTAATTCTGTCGGGTGTAGATTTTCATTGATAAGAGCCAGGTAAGGAACAAAAAGTATCTATGGCCTAAATTGCACCCGCCAGCATGGCGGGAAAATAATCATAAAGAGTCGCTGATTGCTTTGTTGGTTGCAAAAAAAGTCTCTCTGTAAATGTGTGAGTCTCATCCTCTCTAATCTAAGTTAGTCACCCTCGCAGCAGCTTCGAGCTCTTTTACATGAATGGGGTTAACGTAAGGTAATATACCTTCATCCGTCCAAGTCATCTTTGGTCCTCTCTCTGCTTGGCTGCACTGGCTAAGTTAACTCTTCCCTTTCCCTGGCCCTAAAGTGTGGATTGATGGTGTGTATGTGGCTTGGGCTGAAGGCAGGGCCGGTGCTGGTGTTAAATAAACAGGCAGGTGAACAGCGTCTGGGTCCTTTGTGACTGGGCAACTGGGCTCTGTAAGCTGACCGCTGCTGTTGTGTGTGGTCTGAATGGAGCTGAGAGACGATGTTGTTGAGGTCAGGCATGGAGAACCCCAGAGGAACCCCTGTTTCTCATAGGACCCCGCTGCATATCTCACACTCCATCAGTCTGTCTTTCACGAAGGGGGAAGTTGGGAACATTTTATCCATGCTAGTGGGAAACTCAAGGAAAAGGAACACATCAAATGTGTCAACGGGGATCCAGAAGAAAAAGCATTTGAGGGCGTTACAGATGGTTTAAACAAAGCCAATCATTTGCCTTTTACTGGCTTGCTTTTTATTCCTTTGTTACACCATCAAACCTCTTAGTTTCCCTTCCTCTCATTTCCCATATCCTTGTTCACTCATAGCTGGTCACAGATCTCTCTGTGGATGTGAGGTCTTTGGCAACTGAGGCATGTCCGCTTCTCAAGCATTCTTTGTCACTGGCAAGTCAAGAGTTTCAACTAGACAGGTACCAGAAAATCACTTTTCCCCCAAAAACCCGACACTATCTTGTTACACCATAAGAATGAATCATTGTCCAACAACACAGTCATAGTTAACAGATGTCGCTGCCAGCAACCTTGAGAGCTTATGTACAAAAAGTCGGTCACAGTGATAAGACATGAATTGCTACTGCATAGATTTAAAGGTAAGCTCATTCGTTTGACACACAGGTCAGGTTGAGCTGCTGTTGAGTGATTATCAGAGCTCTTTAGGCTAAGGCTTTCTCCTGGATGTTCACCAAGTACAGGTTGATTAAAAATACTGAGCTCCTTGTGCTATGTGCCAGTTTGCACATCTGGTATTTAGTCCTTTTTATTAATTAACGCAGTCATCGGCTTTGGCTCGTGAGTTTCTGATTGGGATTGCGTAACATTTAGATGAAAAACATCTCTCTACCCGCAGCAATAAGAACGTTGTCCAAATCTATGCTATATAGATATGCAGGCTTCTGTCGCAGACTCCTCTTTGCTTGGCTTTGTCCCACATTAAGAGCCTGGGCAGAAGGAATGTCCCCCATATCGGGTGACCCATTGCCCCACGGCCTTTGCTCCTTGCCTAGCTCGCAGCAAGGGAGTGCTTCAGGCGGGCGCTGTATCCCGTGTCACAAAAGCACCTTTCTACACAACAGGGGTACAGAGAATGGGCCACAGCACAGTGATTCTCCTTGGGTCCACTCCAACCCACCATAGTGGGATTTCATACCTCCCCCTGTGCTTCTATCAAACACCCTCATTGGTGGGGATGTTGTTTCACCCAAGCCTGACAAAGATATCAGGGAGACCTGGGACCCTTGGTGCTGCTTCCAAGACATGACCATAAAGGATAGATGATTGTTCTTTTTATTCATAACTGGGTGAGTCTTTGCTGGATGATTTCTTTCACATTTTTGTATGCCAGTTCACTAATAAGGTTCGTAATATATTTGTTGGTGTTCGGTAACTCATCTTGACAGCGCGCCTTAAGAAATTACAGGTTTCGTTGAAAAAAACACACATCCGTATGATGTTAAATGAACTAGAGAGAGACCTGACATATGGAAACAGCTTTGATTGAACAGAAAACAACAGACCCCGACTGCCTGAAAAGAAGACAATTGGAGATATTTTCTTGGCTCTTCTATTTGTTTGTCTGCCTATGAGAAGGCTTCTGTTTGGCGAGATTGGATTTTGTAAGCCGTCAGGATTCACACTTTCAGGTCATCCATTCTGTGGGTTGTATGGGTCAAGTAGGTAAACAATGAGACTTTTAATTTAGTCACCAACCTGATCAATGTGTTTGGTGTTGTGTGCCTCTTTATTATTTTTGGGTGCCCCTGTATGAAGCTCCGGGTAACCCTTGCTGCACTGGTCTCAGCACCACTCTGCTTGTGTTTGTGTGTTTTATGCTTTGGACTGCTTTCTGTGTGAGGGTGTTGTAGTTATGTTTTGGAGTGATCCTGCCAAATTTTCTCCAGCATCCAGGTTAGTTTGGCTTTCACTCTCCCTATTAATAAAGCTAAGGAGAAAAAAAAACAGAAGACAGGTTTGTCCACTTAAAAACATAGTGTCGAACACAAAGAAAAAGAAAAATGGATACAAAAAATAGTCTTTCCATACATGATAGTGGCTGTGAAAATATTTACCAGAAACAGTGGGAATGTGAGTGGACTACTGAAAGAGCATTTTCTTGTCTTTTTAACCACTGAAAGGGATTTAATGCAACAAGTCACGTTCAAAAATACACTCATAAAGAGCATCTTAGTGTCTGAAGTGATACAGGCTTCACATTCATAACTTAGTGGATGCATCATGGGGTTCAACGTCTTTCACAAGGACATTTCTATAACTTGTAGGGAAAAGCCAGAAACTTAACCAGTCATCGGTCTCTTAATCCTGAACTACAGTCTCTAAAGTTTTGGTTTGAATGTTTTAAAGTTCCCTGTGATGGACACCCCGGACCGTACAGGGTATACCCCGTCTCTCGCCCATTGACTACTGGGTCAGGCTCCAGTCCCCCCGCCACCCCATTAGGGAATAAGCGGTTATAATAACGGATGGATGTTTTACAGTTCACAAACGCCAGCGATTCCCTTCCAGTGACTTTGACCTTCAGAGGTTTTACAGATGAAGTCAAGTGATAGTGTTAAAAGAAAAACAGAAAAAAGTTCAGTCTACTCAAGCACTTGGAATAATGATCCCTAACCCACACACCACATGGACAGTAGATTTGTAATTATTGCTTTTTTTTTTTCAGAAAGCTGTCAACAATGCGGATTATTTCTCGTCAGTTGGCTCTAACGGCTGTGGCTGTGCTCATGCTCACAATTGTGTCCTACAATGAAGCCAAGACAACGCAGAAACCAAAGTATCAGTATACAAAGAAGCCCATCTCCCTGGTTACTGTTCACAACCCTGTCACCACCAGCCTGCCCAAGACGCTCAAGATAGTGGAAACCCCGAATCCTGTACAGCCCCAGCTGCAACCCACCCCTGAGCGGATAACCTACCCAAGCCACGCTTACCCTCAGCACCACAGCGACTACACAGAGCACCCTGGTGTTGGCAGTGAGAATTACACCCTGGATTATAACGAGTGCTACTTTAACTTCTGTGAATGTTGTCCGCCTGAGAGGGGTCCCAGAGGCCTGAAGGGAGATAGAGGCCTGTCCGGTATGTGACTCAATTACAACGAGCTGCCACGGACCATCAAATAGCTTTATGTATGTGTAGATTTGGTGTTTTGACTGTCACTTATTTGTATTTGTCCAGGGCCACCTGGTGTAAGAGGACCGGCTGGAGAAGATGGTTTCTCTGGACCGCCTGGTCTAAGCGGTCCTATGGGCTTTAAGGGAGAAAAAGGTTTGATATATAGTGTATAACCGCATTTTTTAAATTGACAAAGTGAAAATGTATCATATGTATTTTAAGCATACTGTAACTGGGGGACAATATAAGAAGTAGACTTTGTGCCAGAAAATTCCCATGACAAGCTATAACAAGCTGTACAAAAGCGTTTTTAAACAAATTTGTGGCATCATAGATTAGTTAGTTGTTTTGACAATCTTTCCCTGGTAGCTCTTTTTCAGAAAGATTACATATCCATCTTGCTCTTTCAAATACATTTCCCAGGGGACAAAGGTGACAGAGGAAATATTGGAACTCCTGGGCCACCAGGAGTTCAAGGAAAACCAGGACAAAAAGGTATAAGTGACCCATTCTTTTCCCTTGTATGTACAGTAGTTCCTAGATTTCAATCATTGTTACAGAGTTGCATGTCTTTTGCAGGTGATTTTGGCCACAAAGGTGTAAAAGGTGAAACAGGCTTCCAAGGTGTCAAAGGTGAAAGAGGGGAAAAAGGAGACCCCGGGCAGAATGGCACTGCAGGTGAGAAGGGAGAACCAGGACAACAAGGGCCAGCTGGACCTCCAGGAGCAGCTGTTGAGCACGGTCTTAAGGGAGAGAAAGGAGATAAAGGGGAGTGTGGCATTTTTGGGGAGAGAGGACCAAAAGGGGAGAGAGGGGATGCTGGGTCCCCAGGCATTCCAGGTGCCATGGGAATTCCAGGAATCAATGGCAAGCATGGTGCCCCTGGACCTGTAGGCATTAGAGGGGATCAGGGACCTCCTGGACCTCCAGGAGACCCAGGACTGAGAGGGCCTCAGGGACCACAGGGTATGAGAGGGATGTTTGGGCCAAAAGGGGACAGAGGTTACCCTGGGATGAGGGGGGACCGGGGCTTCCGCGGATTCAAAGGAGCCAAGGGATCTGGGATACCTCAGAAACGCTCTGCCTTCAGCGTAGGTATCTCTCCGAGGAGATCCTTCCCACCTTCCGGTTTCCCGATACGCTTTGACAAAATCTTCTACAACGAAGAGAACCACTTCAATGTCTCTTCCAACAGCTTTACATGCGTTCACCCTGGGGTTTATGTCTTCTCTTTCCATATAACTGTGCGCAATCAGCCACTACGCGCCACTCTAGTAGTGAATGGGTCACGGAAAGTGAGGACACGGGACTCACTGTCCGGCCAAGACATCGACCAGGCGTCCACTCTGGTGGTGCTGCGGCTGGCAGCAGGTGACCAGGTGTGGATGGAAACATTCAGAGACTGGAATGGGGTGTATGCCAGCAGTGAGGACGACAGCATCTTCTCTGGGTTCCTTCTTTACTCAGACAAAATCTGATACCTGCTTACCTGCTTTGGCCATGCTGAAGATCTCCACTGCAAATGAACTGATCCAATGTGACCACATTGGAGAAAAGAACAAATACAGATGGTGCTTACAATATAACTTTAGCTGCTTAAAGGCCAGACATCACAATTCTCGTCATTATCAAACTGCCCATTTTACTGATTATCCTGTAAATCCCAGAAGGATTACTGTATCAACCTTCCAGTTGTGTCCTCATAAGAACGAAGAGTAAGGGGCCCTTGGACAGGGCCAATCTTCACAGTAGCTTTTATATTTAGCAATCAAAACAGGCACAAAGACACAAAAAGGAGCTAAAGTTTCAAAACAACAACCGTTATTGCAACAGAAAAGCTGCACCAATGTAAAATAGAAAGGCCATGTACAGAGAAAAAGAGGTAATCTCAAATGTGTACAAAAAGCAGCAAAGTGATGCACACAAACACGTAAGACGTTTAGTAGACAAAAACTTACCAACGCTGGAAAACATCTTAAAAAAAAAACACAAAGAAAAATCAGAAACTAAACATATGGTTAAAAAGATTATTTTAGGAAAAGTCTTATAACAGATGAGATGAGTGAATATTGTCCTTCAAAAAATACGCAAAGTAACAAATATACTTTTTTAACTGTACAATGTGTTTTTTATTGATACTATTTTATGTGAAACAGGGATTAACTTTATTACAAGCCAGCTAATGAGTGTAAAATGTCCCAAGCGCAATTCTATTTACACATTTGGTTTAGCAAATTACACATTGAAACAAAATCACATGATTGAGGATGAGATCAAATGCAGTAATGCTAACCAAAAAGGAATTATTCAAAGGAACCTTAATGTTTGAATTCATGAATAACAGTAATGGATATTTTATCCAGTATTGATGCTTTACTCTCCATTCGTAGTACTTTGTAGTATCTATTTAAATCTTTAAGAGTCATCATTGCCTCAGTTGTTTCACCTAAAATAGCTCTTTTATCAACCTCACAATCATGTCCTTTTCTTTTATGTATGCATCTATCTTATTTGCCTCTTCTGTCTCACACTGGGCCACCACCTATAATAATCATCAGCTCTCTGTATCTAATTGCATGAGACGATGAAAAGAAATTATATGTGTTAAGTATAAAGAGAATGTCACTGTGATTTGTAGCTATGTCATTAATCTTCATGCTGACTAGAATGATTGTATCCATCTGCAATGAGGAACTGTTCACTATATAAACTGTCATGGTATTATGCCAGTGATTCTTATATGTAAAAAGTATTGCAGCACAATAGAAAATAAATTGTGTTAACTGAAAATAAAGTCCAGCAGTTCAGATCATTCTTCCAATGCTTTATTTGCAGAACACATGACATTAGTTGTTTGCAACTTTATCTCTCCATTTAGTTATGAAAAAATGACTTGATTACGGTAAGTGGATATCTTGCATAAGGAAAAATTAATACAACACAGAGAAACAGTGACTAATGTAGGAAAGCTATGCCACATATCATTAGCCTGATTCTGGTTCTGATTCTAAAGGTAACTTCTAACAAAAGCAGAGGATGGTGAGACCTAAGACAGATCAGATTCTCTAGACAAATCTCAAGGCTGTGGAGATCCAAAATCTCTGGTCTCACTCCACCTGGAGAGATCCAACACCGGCACCGTGGCCCTGCAGCTGTACTGTCCCGGGGCCTGTCTCACCCACATGTAATTATTTGAGCTCGCCGATCCCAATCGGTTGTTAGCCTTGTAGAAATAGTAGTACAGCGGAGGTGCGGGACCATGAGTGTTGTACTGTACATGACAGATGAGTTTCATTCTCCTTTCTCTCTGAAAGTTGCTCTGATTTTCAATCTCCAACAGGGGCCGAGTCAGAACCTCTGGAACAGCATAACAGGGAAAAAAAATTAAACATATCAAACTTTTTAATGTGTTAAATATTAACTTTTAGGTGCTGGTATTTTCCCAAAGTCAGCCCAATCCTTTATCTCCGTAGTAAGCTGTCATGATATACAAACCAATCTGAATACTGACCTAATACATGAACAGGAGTGGAGACTGAAATCACAGAGTGCGTGCGTCCTCTCATATCCCAGGACGGTCTACAAGAGTACATTCCCTCATCCAGAAGGGTGGCGTTGGTCAAGTAGAAGTCTTGGCTGTGGCCATTTTGCCTTACTACTTCGATGCCATCTTTGTACAAGATTGTCTCGTGCAGAGGAAGACGCATTCGGAGGTGACATGTCAATTTCAAAGTCTCTCCAACAAGGACACTGTGGGCTGGGGCTTGGAGCATAGCCCAACCTCCTGAACACAGATTAGAGAAGACAGTCTCTTTTAAATAATTTTCAAGACTGTGCTCTTACTGACAACGTTCAAACATCAGCTGAGGCTTGTTTTATGGTCAAATGCTGCAAGAGCTGTTAAAAAACAAATGGTGGCAAAAAGAACATTGATGATGAAAAAAAAAAGGTCTTACCATCCACGTCGATCTCGACGGGTAGACTTTTCAGAGTTTTCCTGGTTCCCAGAAGAGAGTCCCTCAGCCCTTGGCAGGAATATTTTCCACTCTCATTGAGGTTGACATTCCACAGGGTGAGGTTCTGCCCCGTCTGTGGAAGCTTCTCGCTTCCTCTGAACCACCAGAAAGTCCAGCCAGACTTGTATGAGACAGGGACGCTGCATCCCAACCTCAAGGTCTCCCTGGAGAAGATCCTCACATCTCCTGAAATCACCTCGACAGTGGGTCGAAATGGAATTTGTGTGGCGGCTGGAGAGACAGACAAATGAAGAACCATGGAGGGACATCAGAAGTGAATCCAAATCCTCTTTCTTCTGAATATGAACGCTGAGATTATAACTGTTCAAACTCACAAACCGTTGTCTGTGCAGCTGGAATATTTGTGTAAATATATGGATCTACATGTGAGGCAGGAATAAATGTGCAGATTAAGAGTAAATTTGACACATACCCTGAGGTGCCACAAGCTGTGAGAGTGATGAGAGGACTGAAAAACAACATGAAAGAAAAAGACAATTACCCAACATGTTAAATCTGATTAAAATGACATGATGACAATTAAAAAAACTCACCAAGGAGAGAAATGGCCACATCCATGGTACAGGCGTTGTTTGAGAAACAGAAAATGACAGGGATTCTTTTATCTGTGTTGAAAAGAGAAGTGAAAACATTTTTTTTAGGGTTTGGCATGCAGAACATCCCCTTTCCAAATTGCTGTCCCATCATTTCTAAAAGTATATATTTTTGCTACCTTGGTGAAATTGTGTGTATTTGATATATTTAATTTCAAGAGAAAAAAACAAAAAGAATGGGGAGCATTTTAAATGGCAGGCTGTTTTTCTTCTACAAAGGATTAGAGAATAATTAAGGTTGTCTTATTTATAAAAAATATATATAGGTGTGGCAATCTGCTACTGACTCTGATATGACTCATAGTTCATATTTTCAAGTAATAGCCCCATGTTGGGTAAACCCCAGTCATGTAGAAAACTGGAAATAACTCAGAATTGCTTCAATAAAAATATCCCAGTTGGGAATTTAGGAATAGGGACTTTCTCTGCAGTTTAGATGGGTGTTGTCACTCTGAATCACAAATAGGTTGCTTATTCTTACATGACACAATAATTTTTATTTCTATTTTAGGACAAAGTATCAAGAAAAGCAGTGAAATGCTTCAATTCTATATTTCTCAACCCATCCATGTTAAAGGCCATGGAATATGAATTTCTTATTTTGGCATTTACAGTTAAATTACATCATGTAAATATCCAAAATCTTTTTTTTCCAAATTTCAAAGCCATTCATTGTGTTGCTCTGAAATCAGTTTCCTCTAATCTATTCTATTCTATCTTTTCAATCAAATACTGAGATAAGAACCTGTTTGACTTTAGCTTTCAAGGTTTATGTCCCAGTGTGATTGAAAAAGATTGATATGTCATGTGGGTTCTCCCAGCATGGTAATGTGAGATACGGAGAAGGGGAAACAGATTCTTAGATTTTTATTAATCATCACACACCCATGGATGCAAATATGCCAATACTGTCCCAATAAGTTACATTTAAATAAAAGACAGTCTTGAGTTATTCTCTCCCAGTAACAAGCCTATAATGTAACAAATGTCTAACAATACCTGATAAATAACTTGCATACAGTGCAAAAAAGGTTGATTTAAGCTAATGCAAAATTTGCATTCAAAACCTTTCAATCAAATCAAAATGCCATAACAGTCGCAGGCTGCCTATACTGATTCAAATATAGCAACAAATCCAATCTAGCAACAACAAACAACAAAAGTACCTCCTTAGGTGAGGTAAAAGAAAGTGTGCCTTTCATTTTTCAAGCTATTGCCAAGATATCCTTCTCAATTAGACTTACAAAACAGACGTCTTTAAAATGAATCTGCTTCTACCAATAATTTTGTCTTTTCCACAGTTAAGAGCCATTACTTTAATATGAATGAGGAGCTTTAGCTTTAAAATCCTCCCCAAAAAGTGCTTAAAAATAATTAGGAACAACTCAGCTGGGAGGGATTTGTCTTTAAAAAAAAAAAACAGTTTCATTCCACAGCTTTGGGAGAGCAAAAGATCCCCTTCAGCTGTTCTTTTAGCAGACATGCTCACACCACGCTCATGGAAAAACATAAAACAAAAAAAACAAAGATCAGGATTTGTGTAGCAGGTGCTCGAGCAACGTTGTTTAAACGACTGTAAATATTACAGGACTGATGCATCCAGGAGAATTGATACGTGTCAGTTTATAGAAAAATAAAATAGCTTCTTTTCATCCAGCTCGTGACTGGAGTGACTACAACATCCACTCTCACCACCGCAGGGCTCTCCCTCGGCTGGCATGAACCCAACACGGGCATGCAACACTCGTGCACATTTGCCACACTCACGCACGCAACCTTTTACTCATCTGTTGTTTTTTTTTGCTCTCGGAAATACAGCACGGATCATGAGCATGAGCAGGAAAGCCATTTCTGGGACGGGAACTCTAGTTCTGCATAATTTAGATTTCCCAGCAGATTTTTCCCCCCCTCTTCGTTGTAACCATAATTCAAAGAAGACGCCTAACAGACAGTTCTTCATGCTAGCTTACATCTAAAGTAGGGATCTCCACTGAATGTTTGAGAGCTAAACCAAACATTTATCTTGCCTGAACAAATGTAAGTGTAACAAAATAAAAGATTTCTGAGGTACTGAAGATTCCACGGTGGATGGCAAGCAGAAAAATCCAAGTAGAGCTCAGAATGAACTCATTTTTTCCTTTGTAATACAAAGATCGACCAGAAAAGAGCACACAGGCTCATACCTGGACATGATTAGGTGTAATCAAGCATACTTGGTCTCCTAAACTCCTCGTGTTGCCTTTTATGAAGAAATAATATGACAATTTCTGAAATTGTACTTATTTGCCTTCTTTTTGAAATTATGATAATGCAAACCATTTTAAGTCCGATATTCAGCTAAAAGCAGGAATGAGTATGTTAGCTGAGCATAAAAGGGGTGGAGGTGTGTGAACGCGGACGGCTTTGCTTCATGTACAGGTGACAAGGCTCAACTTGTAAGCAGATGTCGTATGCAGATAAAAAGGGTACAAACTAGGCAACATATGAAATGCTGATTAGCAAGTTTTAAAGGAGCTAGTAGAACAGGTTTGTGACATGCTGACAGCCAACCCAGCTGTTACCTTTCTTTTACATTTCTTATAGCATCTAGCTGCTATTAGATGTTCACAGTCCTGGTGCTGGAGTGGTCTCAATCTTTTTGACAAACTCTCTGAGAGACAGCAAACAAGTGCACTAGCAGAACATCTACTTGGTCCAGTAGTCCAACAGTTACCTTACTCTTGTGTAAGTTTTAGGGCCTCTAAGGCAAAAAAAAAAGGGGGGGGAGGGGGAAGAAAGGGACAGAGGTGGCTGGGAAGAAATTGGATCATAACAATGCTGTATCAGCATATGGATAGTAAAGTTTAACAGCAAGGAAGTGAATGGTTCCACAGGAAAAACCTGTCACATCAGCCAGCAAAGACTTGAGGCTGAAGCGGAGGTGGCAGCAGCTCGTTCTCAACGTTATCAGAGTCAATGGCTGATGCCCCGGATGGGGCAGGCGCCGTCCCGCCAGCGGTGGCTGCGGCGGGGTTCTGTGCCTCTGGTGTGAAGCTCTCCAGAACGCTCTGAACCTTCTGCTCCACCTCGTCAGTCCAGTCGATGAGGTCGCTCTCCAGCTGGCGAGCTTTCTCCATCACCCGCTCCTGCCTCTCGCCCAGCCCCGTCAGCAGGTCCAGACCTTTGTGGACCTGAGTGAGAGCTGCGCTGCCGGGGGAGGAGGAGGACGCACCAGCGGACTGTGGCCAGTGGGGGGACGCCTGCCCGGACATGTAGAGTTCAAACTCCTCAGAGGTAAGATTCAGAGACTGGCCGTCGAGCTTTTCGATGAAGGCAACTGCGCAGCACTGTGGACACAACACAGAGAGCGTGATAAAGTCTCCTTTCTTAAAGCTGAGCATCAGTAACCTCACTTACACACAGAAGAAACGTCTGCATAGAATCTAATAACACAGTGTAGGGTTTAGCTTGGAAATAAAGGGTCTTGCTCACCAGATTGGTGAAGTAGTAGCCATCCTCTCCGGTCATGAGTCTGCTGGGGTTGCAGAAACGGGTGATGTACTGGATGTTGGACTGCAGTCGTGGGGGATTGGCTTTCAGCACAATGTAAATGAGGGTGGGGAGGAAGTCGTCTGCAGACGCCGCCTCTTTCTTGCTCACTTTGATAGCGTTGAAGATGTGCTTACTGCAACGAGTTATGCAGCCCAGCTTGGCCTTGGGCACGCGCTTTGAGTCCATTTCAATCACATCTGAGGTGTTGTAGATATGTGAGGAGGTCAGGACAAAGGAGGACAATGGAGACTTGGTCACTTCCTGTCATGGTTTTCAGAACCGAACCCCAGCGGGAGACTCACCAGTGATGGCTTTGACTACGCTGTCAGAGACCTCTGGGATCTCCTCATCTACAGGCACACACAGCATCTCAATGGTGACCCAGTGCAGGGCTCTACAACAAAACACAAGATGTATGAATAAAACATCGCCATGCTTCTTTGCACACCAGCCCCACACTGTAAAACCTGTAGTCGAACCTGATTCTCTTCTGAATGGCCAGGTCTTTCTTCTCATCATCTGTGGTTTCAGGACAGAAAACCTCTTTGTAGAGACGAGTCATCATGTACTTCTCCACTTCGTCCATAACAGTCTCCACCTGATCTGAAGACCCTACAAAACCCAAACAGCAAATTATAAACATTCCAAAGCATTTTCATTTGTAAGCATCAACATTTTATTGCTACATATATATTTTTTGTCTGCTTAAACATAACAGTAAGTTGGTACCTTTGAACTGAGTCTGAAGGCGCTCTGAGAGGTTCTGGTAGAAGTCTTGAACACACTCTGACAGCTCATCAGCTCCCATTTCCTGAACAAGGATGGAGAGGAAACAGTTGAGATGAAATTTAAAAAATGAAAAACTGTTTAATTAAGAGTTTCAACACAGTCTTAAATGGAAACTCGATTTGAGAAAAGCAGATACGTCAACATGTTGTCTCTACTTGCGTAACTGATTGCTGCTCACCCGCTTGTACACCATGCTCTCAGTGAAAGCTCGGCACTGTTTGAAGACTTCCCTCCCAGACTTCAAAGGTTTGAGAAAATCTATGAACTCTCGCGTTGCATGGTCACTGTCCACAGATGGTCGGCTTGCTGAGGAGCTGGGGCTTGGACTGGAGTGCGGGTCAAAGGGAGCAGCGTCTGGGACAGGAAGGGGTAGGAAACTGTGATTAAACTTTACTAGACGTTTATGCTTTGCTTAAATACAGGGTTAAGTTGTATAAGATGTGCTTTCTACTATTCATATTAACCAGTATTTTGATTGTATTTCCTTAATAGCAATTTATCTAATGATAACGAAAGAATTGCGAATTTCTCTAGCCGATTCGTACACAAACTCCATTTTGAGATGTGTGTATTAGACTGTGTACCTTTTTTTGGTGGTGTTTTTATGGAGGGACTGAAAAACTTTGTGACAGTGTTGACTTTGCTGGACTTTTCCTTCGTTTTTCGTTCTTCAAACTTGCTGAAGGGTGTGACTGCAGGCTGTGATTGGGTCTTCTGATGTCTGCTTGCATAGGCTTCTTCTTCCTCTCTCTGCAGCCTGCGAGGTGACAAAACAACTGAAACAGCTGTAGTATGGCCAGTAGGAAAATGGAAAGTTGACAGCAGTCAGAGGTAAGAGAAATATCTGCCGCAGCATTTACCACTCAGAGTGACTTACAGACAGAAAACAAAGAGACAGAAAAACAAACCTTTCTGCAAGAGCCCAGTCTTCTTGGATCTGTTTTTGCTTTTCTCGCTGATTTTCTTCTCGCCAACATTTTGAGCACAGGCCTTGCCAACCTGTGTTGCCATAAAATCCACATCCTTTCTTGCAGAGCAGCTCTGATTGGTCTAGATGGATCCCACGGCGCTGGCTCATCATCTCTCAAATGAAAGGAGGATAACTGTAGGACCACGACAGCAAAAACTTGAAACAATCCATTAAACTCCGTTTCATATTGTCCTACAAATATGTACTGCTATTTAAGCACTGATTTAATAATGAACTGGCATTACTTAAGTCAAATATATATAAATACATCAGGACATATCCCCTTTCTTAACTCAACACAGATTATCCATTTCAATAGCTATTTTTCCCACGACAAAAAAGGGCATTGACATCACGACCGTAACAAATGTAATATTATTTGGGGAGTTTATATGTTCACAATTGTTTTTAAATAAAATTGGGGTAAAGAGTAAAACTCGTTGTCATTCTCAGGAACACTTAATTTACAAGATCATCAACAACACAAACCAGTGTTACCTAACCTTACACAGAGGTAGCATAGCTAGCTAAATCAACTCGCTAGATTACCGTCACAATAATAAATATGATTTCTTTGACCTATATTAATTACTTGTCAACATACACTTTCATTCGTATGGAAACGTTGGGTAACGTTGTTGGTGCTCCTTCCTCAGACTGCAGTTGATTATTAACATTAGCCAAGCAGCTAGCTTTGTTCGGCTGCCATTTTGTCTGTCAGTTTCGTTCTTCTTCGGGGATTTTCTTCTTCTTCGTTTTATCTGGGCTGAAAGTAAATGGATAGAGTTCTGCACCGCCACCTAGTGTTAAGACATATTTCGGTTCCATTTATCACCCAATACAGTAAAAATGATTCAGAAAATATATTTGTGTTTTTTTCTAGATATGAGTTTGAAACTAAAATATTTATATTAAGATGTCATCACCATCAGTCCTTATTTAGAGACGTCAAATATTATCGAAATCAATCCAAATCTTATGGAGATGTAACTGTGAATACATCTGAACTATATTGTGAAAGTTGAGTCACATAGATATTATTGAAATTAAGTAAACATATGAGTGTATTTCCTCTATGATTTGAATATAATTCTGTATGCAAACCTGACATGAAGGATGCTTCATGTTGCTCATAACGTTGTGGATCTCACTGAATGGCAGTGCTATTTGAAGCTCTCTTTTTTCCTACTCAGTACTTCCCAGGATGAGTAGACCAAGTTTCAACCAACAAGCCATAGTTTATTGAGAATGAATTACCAGAAGTTCCCATCTGATTAGTCCCATCTGTATTTCCTTCTTTATTAGAATTTGGCAGAATGTTTGAGTTGCTTGTTCCGCTTCCTTCCTTATGTGAGCTTCTTGCAAGACACTGACATGAACTCTGCTCTAATCTTGCTTTGTTTTGGGCTTCTGGGTATATACATTTTACTGTGTGTTTGATCAATTCTCCAAATAATTCAAATTGAAAAACTAATGTTTTGAAAATCCCTCCGTCAGTGTAACAAGGCATTTATGTATGCATATGCAACCACTGAAACCTGATCAATCTGTGTCTCGATGGACATTCTGAAAACAGTTTATGGTTACAGTTAGTTATTCAGTACTGTTATATCACTGTTATAACTATTACAGTTAAGAATTAACGTTTGCTAGATTGTTGCTTTGGCATCTTATACTATTGTGAAACACAAATATAACAGCACATAGGAATCACTGTTCACATGTCATGCATGTATAGTCACATACTCATCTAATAAAATACGTAAAGTGTCAGGTTTCTCTGTTGCAGGGGAGCTATCGGCTTTTTCTAAGCTTCGTCTCCTTTCCTCCTCACTGTTTCAATGTTCCAATCACTGTGTCTTTCTCCCCATCATCAGGGCACCATCCACAAATAAGTAATTCAGCAGCTGAATTGTCAACTGCTTAGACACTCTGTCCACAAACATATTCCCCAGTCAGAAATAACTGAGGCTGGAACGTAAAATTACAAAGAGTTTTAGATGGAAGAAAACGGACAAGGCGAAAGACTTTCTCCCCCCAGCACACTGAAGGGAATGTTAACCATTTAGGGGATAAAAATACAAAAAGACTCACACAGGCTCCAACTCCCTTTGATACAAGGGAATTGTTCGTGTAAAGGGGAAGTCTGTAACTTTCGATAGACGGGTGCTGACTACAGAAACTGATGGAGGGCAGAGTCAAGAACTTTTTGATTTCGCAAAAAACACGATGCGAGTTGAAAGTTGCAGACTTCTAGCGTACAACACTCTTGGTAAAATATTCATGTCGATAGTGTATTTCCCAAAGCAACGTGAATGGAAGTCATTTCCGTGTCGCGCCTTTTCTCTGCTGACAGACAAACAAAAGTTGGACTTCTCCTCCTGTCAATGAGCAGCTTCCCAACTTTAAGCTGCATTCAAAGTTCAGCTATAACACTGTTCCTCACGATCACTGTTCCACCGACTTTAAATACATGGTAATCAAACTACCCCTAAATTAGGAAGAAGAATGAAACTTTCTAATGTAGTTGAGCTTCTGCAAAGCAGCTTGGTATGGGAAGCAGGAAGCCAATCTCCGTACATTACGCACACCCTGCCTCATAACTGGTTGGAAGCGTAATTTAGCCCACTTACCTCAACAGTCCTGGACGAGAAGATCTGAGAGATGGCAGGTAAAGGAACAGCCCGTGCACTTTAGATGTGATGATCAAACTATTTGCATATAAAATAACTACTATGCGTAAAGACATTTTTGAGGGGAGGCTAAACGTTAGTTACCCATCTTGAATGGATTTTGTGCAGAAAAAAGTTAAGTCGAGACGGCGTTCCATTTCCCTGTGTGTTATAGTTTCACTTTGTAGATGTGTGCCACGTCTGCAACCCTGTTGTGTACCTACTTTTCCAAAGTTTATTATCGTTTGGAACTTGCACAGAATCTTTCAGAAGCAAGCGTTTCTTTACTTTCTTTTTTTTTTTTTTTTAGGTCTAAAGTTTTATGGACCACTGTGTTCAAACTATGGTCCGCGGCGTATTACGCACAGACGCACAGGCTAGCGCAATCAGGGCAGTTTGGGGATCTTTGAAAGCTTAACCCATGCATGGTTTTCGTGTAATGCTCGCCTTCTATGATTGAAACATTTAGCTGATTAAAAAACAGTTAAAACGTTCTTAAAATTCCAGGAAAAATGATCAAAAAGCTGATCTTGGGAGAAGGAAGGGCACAACATCCCCCCCCAGAAGGGAAAGCAGGCTTCATGGTTTCTTACTGTCCCCGTTCTAGCTCAGTGTATTTGCACACTCCCACATACCTGTAACTTACATAATTGTTGCTCGTTTGGACGTGCCGTTCTCTCATTGAGGCAGTTAAAAAAAAACGTTTCTCTACATTCACAGTAAGTAACGTTATCATTTCATCTGTGGTGTAAAAATTGTTTTTCTTCCATTTTAAAGACAAGGAACTTTCTAGAGTGAGATTGAACTTTGTGGGGAAAGTGTCCAAAGGAGTTTTGAAGGATTTGCTGGATGGCCTTCTTGAAGATGGTGTCTTGAACGAAGGAGAGGTAGAGTCAATACTTGAAGAAAATAGTACGAAAAAGGACAAAGCTCGTGCCCTCATTGACAGTGTGAGGATGAAAGGCTCTACTGCCAGCAGGAAGATGATTGTTCGACTTGAAATCATTGATCCGACACTTCACTCTGAACTGGGTTTGTCCTGTGGCCAGCTGGCTCAGCCAGGTAAGCATCAGAGAGAGATATTACAGAATAATGTTGTTACTGTCACTGGTGTCTACGAAAAAAGAATCTAAAGACGTAATCAGACGCCTTAATGATGCAAGCTTGTTATTCTCAGATGGAAAACCCCAGAAGGATGAGGGGTCATCTTTCACACCCACCTCGTCTATTGAATCGTTTTGGAAGACCAGTCAGAATGATCCAGATGTGAGTTATAAAAAACATCTTCTTTTTGCTAGTTTGACTTGCAGTTATTTGCTCAAATGCTGGGAAAGGTTGTTTTCATGCATACATTTTATCGTGCCTCCAAAAAAAAAAAGGCCAAATAGATTCTTAACTCGCACCTTTCTACTTGATTTTCAGACTTACCCAGTGACCAAAACTGCCTTCGGAAATCGAGTGGCCCTGCTGATCACTAACATCAAGTTTTCTGTTGAGAGACTGAACAGAAATGGGGCTGAGAGAGATGAGGAAAACATGGAGAAACTGCTCTCAAGCTTTGGCTATGAAGTAGTGAAACACAGAAACCTCAGCGCAAAGGTATTTTGTTTGACCGGGCTAAACCAAGGATTCAAGCTCTTAACTGGCAGCTTGACAGCAATCAATTCTGAAGTTTTGTTCTTACAGGAAATTGATGATGCCATCATGAAGTTCTCTAAGCATCCCAAACTAAGAGAGACAGACAGCGTGTTTGTGGTGATCATGTCTCACGGGAAGCTTGGCGCGGTTTGTGGTGTTGAGTCGGAGGTTGATGGAGAGGACGATTTTCCGATCAACAGAATTTACGACCACCTGAGCCCACAGAAATGCACGGCTCTGCTGGACAAACCTAAGGTCATCATCATCCAGGCCTGCAGGGGAGGTGAGGTCCTGATCTGATCGGGCACACAGATCCACACCCGTCTTCATTTGACTCGGTCTGTGCAGTTTTCATAAGTGTCACAATCTGTGTATTTCAGGAGAGAAAGGGGGTGTCTTAGTAGGCGATAGCATCAACCAGCCTGTTGCTGAGGAAGACTTTGAGGATGACACTCTGAAGTTTGTTCACAAAGAAAAAGACTTCATTTCGCTTCTGTCCAGCACTCCTGGTCGGTACAAGTGGGCTATTAACAAATCATTCTAAAACTTATTACAAAATTAAGTAAACATTAACACTTTATTATTGTCTTTGTCTCCATGTGTTCCCTCTAGATACTGTGTCATACAGACATACACATTTGGGGTCTCTCCTCATCCAGTACATTAATGAAGTTTTCAATGAAAGTGCCTGCAAAGATCCTATTCAAGAGCTTTTCAGGAAAGTAAGTGCTGAAAAATGTAATCTGTCTCATAGGTGTAACTCACAAACACATGATATGTAAAAACAGTAAGTTATATGAATGTTTAGGCTAACACTATCAGTATCAGTGATGTTCCTCTCTTTGCAGTGTTAACAGTTTGTTATTGTACTGTTTTACAGGTCATGCTTCGCTTTGAAAGCTTCCAAAACACAAACAAACTACAAATGGCGACCGTAGATAGATGCACATTAACAAGGCACTTCTACCTTTATCCAGGCCTTTAAACACATCTCAGTAATCTCTGGTGGGAATTGTTGGGTTTCTGTAGTTAACTTCAGAGTAGGGTCTGACCTGCTCTGTTTGGAAAGCGCTGTGAGACAACTGTTGTTGTGATGTGGCGCTATATAAATAAAATTGAATTTAATTGAATTTAATTGAATTGGTTAGCAACTTTTTTCTGATAACAATTTATTTTTAAACACATCTAATGACAGACAATGACCAAACACTTACGTTGATGTTATCATCCATTAATTAAAATGTAAGAAAACGTTTAACGCATGTTTGTCATTATTGTCTCAGTTTGTCCCAGTCTCAGTTTTCAAACACTTTCAAAATTGTCATATTTTGTCAAGTTTTTTTTCTCTTATATGTTTTCTCAACTCTCCACAAAGGTAAACACACACTTTTAGGGTTTTCATTGGTACTTAAAAAAAACTACATCTAATAAATACTATCATGGAAATATCTCTGTTGTTTATTTTTAACTTCATAGAAAATTGGTCATAAACTGAAAAATGAAATAAGGGAAACCTGGTCTGAACACCTCTTTTTAGTGCTGCTCATTCGGCCCCCTCAGAAAGTATCACAATCTTAAAATGTATTAACTCAAAAACCAAGTTAAATGTAGGTTATTAGGTAACCTACTTTAATACTTGTGTCAATGATGTGTCAGCACATTGATTTAGCCAAATGTATAAAAGGCTCGTTATGTTATTTATTTGGATTTTCTTTTAAGTTATCAAGTAAAGTCCAAATGAGGCCCAGGAAAGGAAAACATGAACTAAAGTAATTACACCGACAACGTGACCGCGTAATTATAATGGTTGTGGTCGATTGGTGTTGAAAATGAACAAGTTATCTTTACATGATTTCTGCAAAGAAAAGTACAAACTCTGACAGAGATTTTTCCAACAAACTTTACTAGAAAAAGAATAAAAGACAAAACTACAGTAAAACAAATAGAGCCGTCTTATCACAATACAACACAAAGGCAACAAGTTCAACAGGCCACATGGTAACATGGTGGTAGTCTGTGCATGTCGGATATGTCCCCCAAACACTGGTGTGAGTGTTTTACAGCAGAATCTCTCCTCATATTGATACCTTCATTGACTGAACAAGTCACTGGAGAAATGAACAAATTATTGACAGAAGAGTGAGCACCATTTAACACTTAGGACTTGATAAAATGAAAAGATTCTGCTTGTCACCAAAAGACCAGAATTGACTGGCCTGTGCTTGACATCTTAATAAAATACTCTGGCAGTGTTTGAGAGCTTTATGTCAGTACAACAGTTTAAAAAACAAAGACACGGATGGCTTTCACACATTCTGGATTCAACTCAAACAAGCGCATTTAGCTCGTTCAGACACTAAAGATGAAAATATGCAAAGTCACACCCGTACTGGTAAGGACTCATGCAAATTCGAAACTGAAGAAAGAGACTGACGCTGAGGAAATGCTCATAAAATGCTCAGAAATGCTGCACAGCTCCTAAGAACAGATTAAATCAAGTACAATAGCAGTGCTATAGTCAGAGAGGCAGTGGAATGCCATGACAAATTTGGTAGTGATTAAATCATTATAACATCTACACTAGGTACTAAGTTTTTTTCTGTTGTGTTCCTGTGTTACAACAGAATAATGACAGTTCTATGGGAACTAAATCATGTGGTGATTTTGAGGGTCAGAAAAGGGTTAAAATGCATTAAAGTCAACAAAAAAGAATAAACATCAAATAAACAAACCGGAAAAGCATTGCTCTGACAACACTTCGGGTGTGTGATCTGTCCCTGTGCCTGTACAACATAAAACAGACTTCACAGATGAATCTGTCATATTTGCAAGTTGGAATGTATTTGTTTTTGTTTGTCTTTTTTTTTTTCGTCACTCGAGAAACATCATATCTTTGACAGCACTCAATGATCCGATAAACAGTTTGCAGCACCTCACGTTTACAAAATAGCAACTCATGCGTGAACACCTCTGACCCCGTACACTGTGTGTGTAAAATGCATCATCCATTATGCAACGCATTTTGTGCTAAACATTTAATAGATTGCATTCGTTAAAACAGGAAATTTTAGTTCTGTGTCTGTTCGGTTTTTGCCTTATTGTGTGTGAAGCTGTGTGACTGTGTTGTTTAGTGTGCCTGGGATTGAATTTTATGCCAGTGTCCCCCCAACTATAGAAGCAATGACAACTCCCAGAACCACACAACATATTATGATCATAATTTTCTTCTGTAAAGGATTAACAAGAAGAAGAACAAAAAGAAAAAACATCCAACGCAGCAAAGGGACAACAAAGGGAAACATGTTAGACAGTTCACACTTAAAACATATTACATATTCATTATAATCAAAACAAAATGCAGTTTTGTTGGAAAAATATATATCTGAAAATATCACCATTAAAATACCTTGTTTAGGGTCTCATTTAAAAAGCATTTATTCTCTGTTCCTGCATTTTGTTTGCACCAGTGTATGCTGATGTACATGAGACAGACTTTATGAAGTGCACTGTTTGAAAACACATGTACGTAGACTAAATGACATTGCAAGTGACAACACATGAGCAGAGGAGGCAGGGGGACTGTTAATGATTGAACACATTCAAGCTATTAAAGTGGAGTTATGGGGAAAGTTAGCTCAATGACAGTTTCTTTGACATTTTTATCTTATCTGCAATTTGAGGATGTAATGTAAATTACCTTCTTGTTGGTAAGGTGGATAACTGTAAAAATGTGTGTCATGCAACAAGGCAAAGGTCAAATTGTTTCAAGTCAAATCATTACAGCAAGAAACTGAAAAAGAAACTGCTTGTCATTTCTTTAAACTGCAGTGTATTAAGGGCCTTCCTGATATGATAGCTTTTTTTTAATGCATTTGTCATTTTGGCTCCATATGGTGGAGCCATTTTAGGCTAAAGGTTGGTGGTGAGCTCAGATTAGTGAGGGGAAGGTAAGGGAAAAGTTGGCAAAGTATACCAACCCCTAACTGATCTGATAAAAAGGGCTCCTAGTATAATTCTGAAATCTGAGATCTGACAATGTGTCCTAACAACGACAAAAAAACAAAAAACAAACTAAGAATATAGAATGAGAAACACTCAAGCAGAAAGCATATGTGAAGTATTTTTGGGAAGAGTAGATGGATGATTGACCAATTAACTACAAATGAAAGGACAGCTATGACACAGATAAGCCAAAATGTCGTCTGAACAGAATAGCTTTATATATCCACAGAGTCTGATTTACTTCCTGCATTTGAAGACAGCTAGCATGACCTCTTTTTCATGCACATGCACCATAGAGTGTTGCTGGTTGGTGTGTTGGTTTCCTGGATGTGTGTACTGTATATTTTTTCCTGTATTGCACTCTTCATGTTTACTGTGCTAGACTTTTTCTTGGCTGTCTGCAAATATTCTTCCCTGGAAACTTTTATTGACTAAAGGTTGTCAAGAAGAGCTTCAAATAGAAACAAATAGTTTGAATGCATTTTTCTAATGAACTTGAACTCTCTAACTTTGGCAAAGAAAGTGAATAATATCTGTTTTTCACCAGGTCAATGCTGACAGCAGTGTTGGTGGGGAGCTAAATCTGTTGCCTTCAGGGAACTGGCTCAGACTTTGACAGGTTTCACAACCAAACATATTTTATGTTAGGCTTTACCTCTCCAGAATTGGCTTTCGGTTGCCTTTGATTACATATTCATTATTTATTTATCAGTCAAAGGAGTGCGCTTTCTTACCACAGGTCTTAATCGTGCATTTTTACGTTTGAGAGTGAGCTACACTTCTCCCTGCTGAACTGAAGTGGCATTTAAAACCCTGCTTTTAGAACATGCTTACTGGTTGTCATATTCACCCTTTTGTATTTGTGGTAAAACGTGTTAAACAAGCACAGGAGTATGTGTGCATACTGTGACTCATGCTGTAGAGACGCAGAAATATCCTTTCAAGGCACTTGAATATTTAATAACGCATTCATGAAAAATAGATTTAAAAGGTAATCTACAACTATCTATCTTTAAGTCATCGTCACAACTGAATGTCACAGAGCACCATTCGATAGATAACCAGTTATGAGTGTTTTTCTTTGACAGAGGCCTCACACCCCCTCCTGTCTGCTCTGTTCTTTGTCAGGTCCTAACTGAGTCCCACTGCCAGGGAAATTATGAGGATGGTCAAACACACTGCCACACACCCTCCTATGAGGATCTTTTTCTGGATGGGAAAGATGGAGAGCAAAGAGTCAAATGATGTATCAGTGAGCAAAAACATAAAAAAGAATAAAGTTTGAGCAAAAAAGGGAAGAAAAGAAAAAGGAAAACAGGCAAGAAAGAAAGAGATTACCAAAGAAAAAGGACATAAAGATAAAGAAATAAGAGAAAGTGTCACTATAGAAATTTACCAGGAGGTGGCATAACTGTTCTAATTTGAATTGCACTTTGGCTGGAAAAACAAAGGGAGTATGATGGCTTACAAAAGTATTGATTGAGTGACCTGATCAATTACATTTTCAATAATCTTGAAACCAGTTTTGAGTGTTTTATGTCTGTTACACTCAGAAGCTTGTCCACTTTGTCCAAAAAACAAAGCCATGGTAAAGACAATTCAAAATCCATTAATTCATTAAAAAACTGTACGTTCTTCCATCATAAACAGTGTAAAGAAGACATTAAAGTTGGTTCAACAGAGCCATTGTTTTTGTTTTGCCAGCTAATGGGGAAACCAACTGTCCCACAGTTAACGTGTCATCTATTGAAAGTTGCCTGATTTCTCTGCATGGTTACCAGATTTCACAACCACCAGCAGCATGTGGTGTTCAAGTGTAATGGCTGACTAAGCCTCGCCTCTGTCGTGTGCAGTCCCTCTGCTACATTATTTGTCATTTTGATGACTAGTTTGGTCAAACTCAGCTTTAGACCATTTTGTATTTCTACTTTCTGTTGATTTTGCTCATCAGTGCTTATATGTGGCTTAATTTCTAAACAATCTGAAGTTGATTTTAATCATAAATTCTGGTGGTTGCAGAGGCACCGCCAGAGGGAAACATGTTTGAGACTAACTGCTTCAGACTGGGCCCAACACAGTGACATCACAGAGATCTTTTATGCAGAACACACAACAGGTGTACAGCATGCACACGGACAACAACAAACACTGCACTCCACTTGATGCATGCAGTACTCCTTAAATTGCATGTTTTTTCACATGCAGATTTGTTGCATAAGAAACTCACCCTGCGGGCTTTACTCTGGTATTTAACCGCCTTCTTAGTGTCTGATACTGCCCTCTCCACATAGTCTACTGAGTGCTCCACATTGTACTCTATGCGGTCTATCATTTCCCCCTAGGAGAGGTTAGTAACAGAGGAGGTGTGGAAGATAAACAGACAGGAAGAAGAAAAAGGGAGCCAGATGTGTGGGCAGGTAGTGGATATAGATAGAGGGTGAAGGACAGGGGAGGGATAAAAAGGGGGAAGAGCAAAACAGGAGACAGAAAATATCAAAATTATTATGTCACCCGTTTGCCGGTCTTTTTGAATTTTTTGCATTTTGGGATGCGCTCCTTTGCCTCCTCCACATATTCCTGGGCTCCCAGAACACTGCGCTCAATGTTGTGCACAAGCCCGCCCTGCACAAAAAAAAGGGGAGTCACAAACGTGCATGTCTTTCACAGTGACATGAGACATTTATGCACATTTTTCAAGTGTTAACAAGAGTCACAAGTCTAATGAATGTTTAATATATTCTATTTTATTTTTAGCAGTTGCACTTATGACCTGAAAGAGTGAGAAAGCTCATTAGATTATGTATTTGAGGAAGAAATATATATGAAAATGTTAGTTGCTTCATCAAGCCTGCGTCAACTGAGAACCCATATTTTTTCACATTTAGGATGTCTGCCGTCATTCAATATTTCTAAATCAATTTTAAAGCCATTTGTAGAAAGTGAATTTACCATGAAGAATATTCATCAAAGTGTGCCAAAGAAAAAATAGTTATTCAAGTTAAAAGTCAATTACCTTGCTGTATTAGAAGGGGAGAAGTGTTCTCTGTTCTCTAGAGCTTAGAGTCATTGGAGTGGTGACAGGGTGGTGTGGTGTCGGAAAAGACAAAAAAAAGGGAAAACAGAGAGAGTTGGGCACAGAAAAAGCAAAGCTGAAAATGATTATCATTTACACTCAAGTGTTGCCTTAAATGATGGAGCCCTCAGAAGGTAAAGGAAAAGTTAATCAAATCTTGAACAGAGAATAGCTTAGTACACACACACAGAAAATGATCCAGTATGAAACATTTAACCCTTGTCACTGGAGTTCATATTACTTGCTTGCAAGAAAATTATCTGCAATTTAGCATTTTTTCATACTAATTTGTTTTCTAACTCGGAGCCCATTTTGTGTAACTTCGACTGAATAATTCAACAGGGGGTTCAGCCCACACACAAATATTCATACATGCCAGCAACAGAACAGCAGATCCTGAGGAACTGTACTTCCCTGAGGAGGGAAGAAATGAAATTACTCTAATGGATGTGCATTATTTGATATTTTTCCCTCTGAGTAATGATTTCTGCACAGATGAATGCTTTTGACATTTAAGGTTCAAGTATCTAAATAAAAAAAAACGATATACTTATTTTTCAGCTCATGAATGTGACGTGTAAAATATCTGATGACAAGAATCAGAAATTCTTCCAAAAAATCCAATCAGTCTGTTTCAGTGCCAATAAAGATTTGCCCTCAAAAATCTGTCTAATTTTACCGAGATATTTTGCAAACAGACAACCAGATGGAGCTGACAGCACAAGCTCCTTCCAACTCAGTTGGCAAAGATAGGTCTGAATTTATATGAATGTACTTAACGACTTAACCACAGCTTGTCGGTAAAAAAAACAACAAAAAACAACAAACAAAAACATAAACAAAGCTAGTTTTGATCTAGTGTGCAGTTATTGGAGCCTCAAAACAGGGCAGCAGCATCTCCTGCAACACATTTGATCATGCATTAATCAGGGATTTTAGGAGCTACCATTCTGTGTGTAGAAATCAAATTTTAGTTATTATTAGTTGCAAATTTCTAGGCATAATTAGCATCTGCAGCTCTGTTTGATTTGCATTTGGCTGAGCCCCAAAGCACACAGCTGTAGGAAGAGAGACAGAGAGAGGAGCAATGTTTTCACCTGGCTCTCCACCAGCATGGCCATGTCCATGAACATATCGTGAAGCTCTCTGATACTGTTTTCCAGCTTGATAATCTCATTGTGTCGCGTCTCAATCTCATTCATCGCTTGCTGGGTGATGTTGTCCATTATTATCTGACGAGGCAAAAGACGAGAAAATGGTTGGAAAAGAAAGAGGGTTAGATAAAAAAAAAAACCTTATCTACATTTGCATTCATGCAGCATTTGTCAGATCATTTACCCCAGAGGTAAAGATAGCTGGGTTGTCACTCTCCAACATGCTCTCCAGTTCCTCATTTGTTGTGTTTCTCCCAGCTAAAAAGGAAAAAAATGGGGAAAAAAGCAACTCCACATTATTAAACATGTATAACTGATGTGTCTGTGCTTATAATTAGAAATGTTGGTTTATGCACAAAAATGACAAAGTGGAAGTGCAGTGAGAGTGCATTTGCAAATATCCACTAATGTGGATAAAGATCACATTTAGTACCACTAATGAAATGCATTGGGAGTTGATAGTTACCACCACTTACTCTCATATCCCCTTAAAGGTAATTTAAAACCAGCTGTCTATCTCTTATCCACAAAAAGTCCCTGGAGAGGATATCAGCTTCCATTATCACACATTTGTATTACAGACCGTCGATTTGAATATCGTGGGTTAGAGGGATTTATCAGTGTTTAACCAGGCGTCTCTGATGTTTACGTACATCTGAGCCATAAACAACCCATAATGGCCCTGTTCCCACGTGTATAGGTGGACAGATCTATTATCGCATGGGGAAACTGTCCCTACAGCTACCTGCTTAGCTACCTCAAACTCTTTATTGACACTTATCCATATCATTTCATGTTTGCCAGCTAGGCTTCATATAACCAAGATGAGGTCAGGTCTAGCAGCGTGTCAGACTGACAGGAATGAATAATGGCTAATGCTTTATCTGGGACACTTCATATTCTTTCTCATAGATTTTCTTCTCCGTAGATCTCTTTGACATGGTGAAGTTCTTTATTTTGAATCTCTTTGAAAATATAGTGGAAGAAGATATAAAAAACCCGCAAGAAATTCTTATAATTCAAATATTTGTCCTAGATAATCTCCTTTGTTCCATAAATGAGGATTGTTTAAAAAACCTTGGATTTTAAAGGAGGCATAAAAAAGATATTTCAATATGAAAACAAATTTGATTAGCTTGTCATTAAAAAGACATGCCACCGGACCTTGTCAAGATGGATCATGTGCACATGTCAGTCAGAGGTGTCAGTCACACTCAGTCTGCATATCAGTTGTGGTGTATAATCTCTTACCTGCAGATCATCCTCTGACATTTACCGTTAGCCAGTGGGAAAGGTCTTACCGTCCTTTCAATGCACAGCTGAATATTCATAAAGAGCAACTACATTTCTTAGCAAACACCTATTAATTCAGTACCCTATTAAGTTTGCCTGGCTAATCAGCCGATCCCCCTCCAACGAAACTTTAAATCTGTCTGTCAACTGTCCCCCTCTGTATGACATCATCTCTACCTGCTGATGCGTTTGCTCCTCATCTGTTTTTATTTTCCCCGACAGAGTTGTTTTACTCAATAAACATCCCCATATACCCACAGCAATCTTCAGGCTGGTTTCACTTGCAGAGTGGCTTCTCTGAGCTCCATCACTGCCTGGCTGGTCATAGTCAGTTTGTTGTCACAATCAGCTCCAATCCTCCCATGCATATTGTAGATCCTCAATGGGGCTTTACAGTCTACACAGTACATTCTGTCTCATCACACTCAATCCCATCAAATAGTTAATGTGTCCTGAACTCATCATTTTAGGTCTTTCAGTTACAGTTATGCTAAAAATATCATTTGACATATCAAAAGAATATCCCTCACAGCCCAAAGTATTGTAAAAAAAAACAATGATAACTTAATCAATAAGAGATTTGTGTGTTTTACATTTCTAATCTTGATTTACTTTTACCATTGTGGTTTGTGATGCTTAAACAAGAGTGTTTGGTATCATCTTTCCCAAAAGGATAAATCATAGTATGATAAAAACAAGGAGTAATGCAATCTAAAGGAAAAGTCCTGAAAGTCAGACAGAATTAGCTTCAAATGGCAATGGTACCTGTACAGTGCAAAGTGGGGAGACCGATTAATTCGACATTAAATTCTGACGTTTAACATCAGTCAGAGGAAAGCCCAGGTGTGTCTTGATAATGACAACTGAATTACACTGAGCACATGCTGCTTCACTGTCATGGTGAAACAGGGTAATTTAGTGGAGTAATAATTAATTCCATCTCTTCTGATAATCAAAAGTCAGCGTCTTAAACACAGTGGAATAAATGGGCAACGTTTCTCGCTGAAATGTAGTTTTATTACTACATGAATTATCAGAAAATTCCTTTGTACGTGTTTAGGAGTATATGAAAAAAACTAATTAAGTAATTTAATAAATTTGTTTGGTTAGAATCCTTTACCAGACTGTATCAGGCCCCAAAGAGTTATGAGATGTTCATTAACTGTAGGTATTTCGAGAGAGGTATTTCTTAGTTGGTTAATTTCAAAGTTACTTTTTGACAAGCTACTGATATGAAAACAGAAAATAATGAGAACACTGCAATTGTAAGAATGCCACCTCTCCTGAGTTGGCATGCTGATAAGTTAAAGTAGCTGGAGACCTCAATCTGTCATGGGAAAATAATTCACGACTATTCGAACCACAAGTCTTAAGGAAAATTGCTGTAGATTGCTAGGAAAGAATAATTTGCCACTTGGAAAAGCACGCTCATCAGCAGAGCTCAAAGGAACGCGGGCGAACAGCGGACCAGTTGAGCTGAGCTTGCTGCTGCTGTCAGTGCTGTCACCGTAATTAGTGAGATCCAGAAGTGCAACTTCAGAAAAATAAAAGGCTACCTGTTTATTTTTTTTCACCAAGCTGATATGAGAACTGCATCAGTCTAACTCGGGTGTGTCGCCAACAGCTCTACCTTTTCTTGTCCAGGCCCCCAACAACCATGGCTCAAGGAAGTCATTAAAGGCAGCTTTAAAAGCGCCTGCATTCGTGAACTAATCAGAGTGCATGTGTGGAGGTGCATATGGGAGAATGTGGAGAAAATCTATAATCCGGACTTGGTTGCTGGTGTATCAGAGCCTGTGGGTTGATGGTGGGTGATGACAGTCGGGAGTCGGACCAAGTGATTGCCTTCACAAGCAGTGACTACGAAGTCGTTCATCCTAAAATGTTCCCATATTTCTTAGCCACATCAAAGCCATGAATTTGAATTAAATGTAATTTCAGTCTGATCTATGTATGTCCAGTAATAACATTTTGGAGAATACGAGATGAAAAGATAAAGGCTGCACATGTAAAAACAAGCAAAGACATTCTGCTGCTATTTTACCCATTTTATTTCAGTTCCTACACACATACACACCCCTTGTCGCTTTTTTTGCAGCCATGACAGGCTCTGAGTCTCAGAGGGAGGCTCTTATTTGTTACCATGGAGACCCTAACCCTGAAAAGCCTAATATGAAGCAATGAAGTCTCACTACGCCCATAGTGTTTATAGGCTATTAAATCATTAATACTATGTTGCTACCAGTGGCAGCATTATTTAATTTCCAGTGTTATGTAACACATACCGAGTGAGATCCCAGAGGAGCGAAAAGGCTGCGCAAATGTTCGTGCAGGAAAAATGTAACATGCGAGTGATTATCATGTTTCTGATCATCACGTTCAGATGTGCAAACGAGTAAGTGAAGTATAGAGAATTTCCTTTCCAAACATAAAGGCTTGTCAGTTATTTTGCACAGACAGACTGTGTGCCTATGTCTTTCCCTCTGGAACTGTGAATGTGTCTCACCTGGCGAACAGAGAGTCTGTTGAGAAAAAAAGCATTATCAAATGTCAGTGAGATCCTGCGATGCTTGCGACCAACTGCTGAGTCAGCCTCTCTGCACACTGCTTAAAATGATTTTTGGTCAAGCTGAAAATCATATATACCCATATCCAATTGCGATTTTGTTATTTTTTATGTGACCATTACATTCTTTCATATTATGAAGTTGCACAGGGAGTCATTTTGTAAAAGATGTTAATGGTCAATTTGCATTTCCATATTTTCTTGGACTTCAAAGAAAAATATCAGGGTCTTTTGCTATGACAAGGCAATCTTTCGTGTTCTTGTTGTAGAGCAGTGGAATACTAACTTCAAACTTGGCTTCCATGGAACCTTGCGCAGGGTCAGCTGGAGTTTGTGTCTAAAGAGACAACAATTGCTGATCTGGACGGCTGTATTGATTGATTAGGTTTCTTTTGACCTCCAAACAAGCCACTAAAGCTTTTTCTTAACCTTTGTAGACCGTGTTTCTTTTGATAATGCTGCCACTTAAAAACCTTTGAATATAGTTTTAAAGAGTTTCCCCATCTTGTAAGCATTAACAATTTCCCTTTGCATGCAAAAGTGCAAGTAAGGCTCAAATAAATTAAACATGCTATGCTGTGCATCTTCTGTTTTACCTATGGCTTCAACTGATGAAGCGGAGCAGTTAGCTATACAATTTTGAGTAAATAGCGTGTAAAAAACTGAGTCAGTATTTTTTTGTTTCATAACTACACCACAGCAGTATCAGGGTGTCAGTCAAGGTGCCGGGAAAAGGAAGAAGCCGTGGTTTAATCAATACCAGGTCCAACAGACCAGAGAATACTTCCCATTGTGTGACACTTGTATATTGATTCTCACTGTAACAACTCAGAGGTGTTGAAACAACAGATATATGGCCCAGTTGCTAATTAAACCAAACTTAATTAACCTGGATCCAAAATATTGATCACATATAATTGGTGGGGACAAACTAAAGAATCATGAAAATACATCAGTAAATATATATATATATGTATACAGTATATATATGCATGGACAATGGCTACATTTAATACTTACAGATGGTCAGAGAAAATTACACTTCTGCCAAGAGGCCTGTGACATCACTGCATTTGCTCTCATCTGTTCTTACCACTAAATGAGTCATAGTGATGGTCTCTGTATGCATTTGTGCGCTTTGCATACAAGGTGACTGTCGTGGTGACTGTTAGGGGCAGCTGGCAGGGTGCAGTGTGCCAGGATGACGTGGGGGAGACCAAGTCAGTAGCCTGTGGCCTACAGCTAATACCTGTCAAATCACATTACAGATACAGTGTGACACGAGCTCGAGAAGCTCAGAACTGAGCTGCATTAACCTGGCATGCGCATGCATATGGGTGTGGGTGTTGGTGGTAGATGTGTTGTGGAAAAGTGGTTTTAGTGTAAGAAAGGTTGTTTGGGTACACGGCATTAGGCAGATTCAAAATAAAATATGGACAGAATATGGCCAAACCTCTGTATAATTACACATGAATCCTATTCTCCATGAGTGTACTGATGTTTGCTGTCACTTTGTGTTCAACGTGCATTATCTCACATTACGTCCGTTGTATACATTATTCAAGCATTGTCATTAATAGTAAACACGAAAGACAGAGAATAAGCAGCATGAGTAAAAGAAATAAATGCACTTAATTTTTCGAACGTTTTATATATCATTTTAAGAATTAATCTGTTGGCCCAACAAAGAAAAACATAAATAAATAAGTGCCCAGAAGGCTTTCAGACAATGGTAACTATGGTTTGTGGGGTGGGGCATTGCCGATCAATTTGCTCTGGCACATCTAATTTTATTGGACTGGAAGAAGGGAAACTGGGTCAATGCCAGGGGCTTTTTGTGCGTCTCACGATGTTCCACAGCAGTTTTGGCTGTTTAACAGGAACCATGTCTGTCCAGAAGTCCTGCCAAGGAGTGACCACTGAGAGGATGTGTTTGGTCTGCATCACTGTTTAGATGGGTGGCAGTCATTAAATGAGACATGTTAGTGACTTAGTTGTTTTGTGTGTTTGTTTTATTATTCAGGTTGATCTGTGTATAATTTTCCTAATTATCAAGAAAAAGAGATGGCTTTTCCATGACATTATAAAAACAAAATGGTAAAAAAGTTCAGCACACGTCGTGATCAAAAGCTTCAAAATGGATAAAAAGAAATGCTGCATGCATCAATACAGCATTTTAGACCCATACAAATGGATGCATAGATCAGTATTACAAGTGTTTGAAGATTTTAAATCAAAAGTACTCACTGATCTCAAGCTGTCTCTGAATGCGACCCTTACAGCGCTCCCTGTAGTCCGACTGGGTTGTGTTGTATTCTGACATGACCTCGACAAACTTACGAGACAGCGTCGAGTGCTGCAGAGACAATGAGGAACAACAAAACACTTAACCTCAGTGTGCTCGCTGGCAGCAGTGAACACTTCATTCAGAGCTTGATTCAATGCTAAATGCATAACAGTTGGCAAAGTGCTAATGCACAATTATGGCTATGCCCAAAATGCATTTCACACACTCACTTTAAGTACATTAAGTTGCTCCAGACTGCACTGAAATACATTCATGGGCAGCAAGCATACACATGAAATAGTACAGAAAATGTAGAAGCTGCTCAAAGAAATAAATATTCTACATTATTTTTAGTCCATTATATATATATTTTTTTGCAATTGTGACATTTTGTATCATGGGCAAGTCCACCATCAGTGCCATGGCAGTGGATCTTTGGGATTTTACAGTCAAAGATTTGTCATATTATATATTCATGTTCACACCAAAAAGTACAAACTTAGAAAACGGATTCATCCCTGGCATGTGTGCCGTATGGGAGGATTAATTGGGATATCAGAAGTACACTTCATTCACTTCATGAAGACTATGTTGTGAGATCACATCAAAGCTATTTTAAGGCTCCAAGACTTTGATTGTGGCAAACCCACAACATGAAAAAGATTAGTGAACATTACATTTCAAAGGGATTAATAACTGCTTGAATAGGATTTTAAATGAATTTAAGTAAATTTAAGGTAGTGTGTGACATTGAAAAATATCTTAACTGAAATTTTGTTTTTCGAGATTTGCGACTGGATGCTATTTAACAGATGGCACCACACACATTGTATTCTGCTATTACTATGCATTTTAGTAAGTGCTATTCAATTGGGATAAAGGGGCAAACTGTTTCTTGAACTGTACCTGTGTTTTACGTATTCGTAGATCGGCTGATGACCTGTTCTGCCCCTCCTCTTGCTCAATGGTTTGCTGGATGCCTGAAGAGAAAAATAATGACAAACATCTAAAAAGTCTCTAATGCCCTAAAAATCCCCAGTTGCAAAAAAAGGGCTGTTCCTTTGCCTTTTGAATCTAAGCAGATCATGGTAGAATGGGAAACTAATCATGGCGGCTGAGGGGAGATTTTGTTGAAATCACAAAAGATTATTTTCGCAAGAGAAAATGTGCTCAGTAAACCTCAGAAGTGTCGGATGAATAGATGACGATGGCAATTAATGAGATTATAGTGAGAAGAAAGTTACAGGATTCATCACAAACACAAGGATACTGTAATTGGTTATTTGTCTTTATATAGCACAGTAATTAACCATTCACTTTTTATGCTTTCGTTTTGACTGAAGTGAACGAAAAACGCAATCATAGTTTTATTTTTTTTCTAATTCAAGATCTTAAATTGTCTATCTATAACTAAATAACTAAAGTTGAAATTGCCGTAATGATGTGGCGAATTAGAATTTTTCCAAGATTTGACTTTTGACAAAACACATCATTTTCTGGACTGCGTCTTCACGTTCACACCTCAGAAAAGCTCGGAAAGCTACAGGAAAACAGGAAAGCTACTTGTGAACATATTTATGTTAATCAAAGAGAATGTCATTTTGAAGCCTATACAATTACTGAACTACACAGAGGAAATATGTCTCTGTTTGTGGATAAAATCCTTGTTTGGACTCATACAAGCATATTAAGTGACATGTTTTACTTTAAGACTTATGCACCTGCAGCCTACTGTACGTGCTGTACACGTCTGTTTATCACGATGAGTTGTTTTACAATTTATATCTAACTCAGCTCAATGGTTTTGTGATTTCATCTACAGTAGCATGACCATTCATAGAGTACACAATGACTCTGCTGCACACTCTGAAAAATACTAACATTAAACTTGATCTAAAGTTAACATCCACATTCAAATCAATCCTGAATAATACATCTTATAAAAATGCCTCCTGTTGTAAGGCTATTTATCATCCAAGAAAATGCACAATGGCTTCTATTTATTTTATTGTACTTAGTGATATCACTAATTTAAAGATAATGATAAATGGAATTCATGGAAGAATCATGGCTCCAAAGCCTTTGTGGAAATTGTTAAATAAGCACTTTGAACTTTGTAAGTATGTGTTTGTGCAAATTCAGGCAGTTCTCACAATAATCTCAGTATTTTTATGAGTAATGGCCCTGTAAAAGAATGGGTTTCATTCATCCAGTGTCTAAAATTGCCTTTCACAATAAATGTTTTTCTTTTTCCAGTGAAATCTGTAGTGCACTTTTGATGAAATATGAAAAGCAAGAGAAAAAAAAATGCTCATAAAACTTGAATAGATAAAAAAAAATATATATAAAGAATATAAATACAAAAGAATCAAGCCATTGTTGACTACAACAGCTTTCTTTTTCTTTTTGTTATTATGATTTGACATTTCAAACAAGGAGGGAAAAACTGTACAAACCATAAAGAAAATAAATGAGGAGGAGATGATGCTTAGGATTCACTGTTATGCAGATATATAATTTAACAAAAAAAATCGATATTCATATATATTCAATGAGAAATGTAAGTTTGTACAAGTAGAAAGAAAAACTGAACAAATCTAACTTGGAATATTTGAAGAAGATTTATGGTTCCAAGTTGGATACAAAAGTGTGCAGAAAAATCTGTTGCTTTAACACATTTCTCAAATGTGAGCAGGCACTGACCTTTAGATCTCCAATGGTGGACATGAATCTAAATGTATCTGTTGCAATATTTCATTTAAATCCACCATCTGAACCTCCCGCTGCCTGTTTTTGGCACTAAATCTGCCAGATTGATTAAAAATATGGAAGATATCAAAGAGACACCACTTGAATTTTGTTTTTCAGTTCTACAAAGGTAACAATATAATACACACTCAAATAAATCATAAACAGCTGCACAAATGTGTCCTGTAAAATCAGCTTTCCACTCACTGGAAAGGCAGCTAGTGGCCTATGATGCAGAGATTGCTTTACATAACAGCGCCTGTGTCTGGGTGCTTGTAGGCTGCGAGCATGCAGACAAAGGGTGGTGCAAACATTGCAAACATTAACCAGCTCTCTGCACTGTGGTTGTACTTTTCTGTAAGAAAAACCTCTCTTCTTTAATTCCGCTTCATAAAACACTACTCTCAATGACGAAAATGCCATGAAAGCACTGAAGGAAATACATATAATAGAACCGCAAAAAAGATTGTTAAGGAACTTGTCAAATTTGTATGCTAATAAATAAAGTGGGTGTCTGACAGTGATATTACAGAAAAAGAAAATGACAATCCATCTCACACACAAACTGAAAACCGTTAACACTGACTCTCCCTTTATTTATTTCTATACTACATACTGTACTCTCAACGGGGTCCAAGCTCTCCCTTTATGTGAGGACTTATATGGGAACAACAGGTATTATATCTTGCTCAATCATCAATATGACTTTGTACCTAAACATAAAAAAACAACAGCTTTCTGTTCTTGACTCACGGTTCTTGACGCCACCTCTGTGGTGAGTGACACTTAAGTGCACATTTCGGGAAAGAATCAACAGCTGCCTGTCAATGGTTGTGCAGTTATCAGTTTCTTTATGTCTCATTTGTAACCCTCTATCCACCTCTGGTAATCTACCAGGGCCATTGAACAAGTCCTGCACAAGCAGGAAGCTTAAAAAGCAAATTAATTTCCATGCACCCGTGCTTTCAGCGTTTGAGGAAAAGAAAAGTACTCACTCTTTAATTTAGAGCGTACTTTGTTTGCCAACTTCTTGATGTCTGCCATTAGATCCTCAAGCTCGGCTTTAGTCTCTGAGGAGAGGGGACAAGAGGAGAGGAGTACAGAGGAATTATATGCAACTACATATAAATAAACCTTTTAACTCACCCACACATACAAACTTCTGCAGAGTAAGTTTCACAGAGACAGAATCATTACTGACATTTCAATGTCTTCAGTCCACAGCCCCAGAGTGTCTTCTTTATTTCAATAGTCTACCATCATTCCTCAGTCCTGTGTCGTATCATCAACACACTTTATTGTGCATGGTTGCACAAGCACTAAAGCTATTGATAGATAGGTGGGTGGGGAAAATATTGATGTCTTATTTTAGTAACTCTTAAATCAAAAACTGTAATCATAATAAAATCTACAACATTTTTCTAATGTACTGTATTTTTTAAATAAAATTGATATGTATAACAATATGATGGAATTGATTAACTCAAACCATCAACATTTTGCATGTACAAATTACACAGTAGACTCAAATGCTAGATGGCAAATATGAACTAATAAAGTACTTGACAAACTGCATGGCAATGTGTTATCAGAAACTTTCAAATCCAGTGCAAAATACATTGGTCATCAGTGACACTTGTAATAAACTTGTAAGTTAATTTTTCTAAAGAGAATGTATTCCATTTCTGTTTTTTAAACCTATGAAATAATAGAACTTGCTTCCTTTTATAAAAACAGAATGAGATAAATATCATTGCACAGGTCAAAATAAAATAAAATAATCTATTAACACTACCACTTCTACTACAGTGAAAAATGTACCTTTTTCTAGTGACTTAAAAGGACATTTTACCCCATTGTTCGTTATTTTATCGACATCATTATAGGAGAAAATTCCATGAGAAATGTTTGCTTGTGTTCACATCTCTGCAACATTGGCTTTCAATTATATTGTAACAAGTCATATTTTATTTGTTATATTAAGTTCAAGACAACTATAATTCAGGAAAACAGACATATCCGTGTTTTAGGTTTGACTTGTCAAATTGAACCTTAGATATGTTCAGTTACTTTCGAGTTTTCCACGGCCTCTCACAAAATCTTAACAAAGCATTTGAGCCAAGGCAACATAAGTAAAGGCGACGGCAGTTGGTTTGGACGATAACATAGTTGGAAAGTGCCATGAAATAGTTTCTCTTGTCCATGAAAAAAAAAGATGTGAAAATACAATCAAACACAGGTTTCTCTTCTTTTCACATTCAGATGACAAAACAAAATTTTCATCTGGATCCCATACAAACACCAAATCTCAATACCTATGTTAAAAAGCCATGGTAAGAAACAAAGTCCTTACAAGTAACTGCAGAGTTTTGATTCATATAAAACACCAGCAGTTTTTATCTATAATGAGTTTATTTCTGCATGTTTCCCGCTTTTTTGAGGCTGCATAAATCACAAAGATAAATTAGAGATTGCTGTAGCCCTGCTGAACTGAATCTCACAGCAAACATCTGAACCCAATTACAGACAGAACCTTGTGGATAATTTGATTACACAGTACGAGGGAACCCTCCATCATTGGTACACGTTCACTTATTAAAGCGTAATATTTGCACACACCTCTTTTTGATCAAATAAACGCCTAAGAAAAATCAGATAATCACATCATCTCCTCCCAAACTGCTGCACAGCACATCTACATTATATGAAAGGTCTTCCTAGCATTTTGAGATATCATACTTTGATGATTAAAAGGAGTCAAACGATACCACATCCCACACTGGGCTGGAAAAAAAACACAAAATAACAACAAAAAAGAGGTGGGTTATTATATCATGACATCTACAAATTAAAAATAAATCATAGGAATACTAATCAGAAAAATTACATATCCAATAATATAGGAAGGAGAAACCCGTTGAAAAAGTTTGAATAAAAAATTTAAGTTTAATTGAAAATGTTGAAAATCTAAACATCAATCAGCAAACCCCAACAAGCTTTTAAGAGATCATGAGTCATAGTCATAGTGCTGGTGACAACCTCAGACTCATACAGAGATTGAATTAGGGCCCATTTAATTCAGATGCAACGGGCAAGACATGCAAAATCTTAAAACACTTGGCCTCAAAATAAAAATATAACATGTTTCTCTCAGACCACGTTCTGTCTAAAGGTACGTCTAAATATCTAGATATATGTATGGGGACCAGGATGCCTGCATGCTGATTACTTGTCACATCGATGTAGTAATAAGGATGGCACACAGCTGTCGCACCTTAATAAAGTCGTCATAAAGCCCTTGACAGCATGTCTGCTCTGTAGAAATGCTTTAAATTGTAGGCCCCATATGAATGTCTGCATTTAAATGATTTCACAAGGTGTCAGTGAGAGAGTTTAATTTAATTCTATACTGCTCAAAATGATGTTCAAAAACAGGAAGTAAAGAACGTCTCTCATATACAAACTTCAGGGATCTCATAAGTAATAATAAAGTAGGATGAAATAATGATAGAATGATAACAGAAATGCTGGAAACGATTTATTAAATAACAGAAAGGGTATGTGGTGCAGATCAATAAAAGTTTTAATAATACAATAAATAATGTGTAAAAAAAATAATATATCCTTTACTTTTGCACATCTCTTTTCAGAAAACCAAATATGGGATAAAAAGATTTGAGAAAATATGTCATCACTTGTTTTAGAACATGTAGAAAAGTTCGATTCTCAAAGGACACCAGTGATAAGAACAGGTTTGCAGTGGTTAATTACATGGAAGAGGTACAGAGAATCCAATCCTTTCGGATAGATAATGAGGAAATGAACAGTAATTAAATCAAGTACTTGAAACGCAGGAAATGAAATTCTGTAAAAAGAGCTAATGATGAAGATGGGTTTTAAAATAAACACCGCCAGCACTGCTATATCACTGAAATATATTAGAGAAAAAAGTTCCCCCTGTTGGAATATTTGCTGCAAGCAGTTACATGTAAGCGGCCACAATGGGCCGCTTTCTCAGGGTCACATGCGTTGGTCTGAGGTTGTGGGCTGATCCCATCAGGACGAGAGTAATTTAGTCAGTTGGGCTGATTGTTGAATTTGTGTGGTGAAAAAAGATCTGCTTCATAATAGCTTTTCACAATGGCATCACTTGAGAAGATCACTGGGAACAGTAAGAGGCAAACCTTCAGTCATCATTTATATTAAATGTCAGTCTCGCAGTTTAGGTGGCATCAAACTGTTCGAGATTACAAAAAATACACTAATTAGGGTAACTGGAGTGCAAATTGATTCGCATAAAAATCAATAGTAAAAAAAACAATATTTGTTGACCGTAAATGGGGGAGTGATTTGTGAGCAAAGGATCTCATATTTCAGCCAATGAACCATTTACTATTCTTAATGAGATAACGATAACTCATTAGTATTCAACCTATTTACTGAATCCTGGTCTAGCACCACAATTACCTTGTTGTAGAAATACACATAATAAAAATAATAATGATAAACGTTTAAAGTCCAGCTTCATCTTTTGCTTTCTTTCAGTTCAGTGACATGGAACCACAGTCTGTTTGTGGGAGAGTACACCTTAAAATGGTCCTGTAGAAAGAGACTTTCATCATGTTCAGAGCTCTGAAGCCTCTATAGTAATCTTTTACTACTATGATACCTTTGATTAATACCATTACAGCCTAGTCTGTGCATTTGTCCAATTTTTGGCAGATTGTTCCGCTGGCATATTATTTCCTTTAGATAATAAATGACTTAATGGGGTTGCAAAGGAAATTTTAATTAATTTATTTGAGATTTTACCATATTTTACGACATCAGTATGTTGTGTAACTCAAATGATGTGTGGCGGCCATTTGCACAGATTGGAAAGCAGGTACACTGTTTACTGTCACATGAACAAAAACGGGTTGCTTTTATTCCACAGTGTTCTGGCTAAGGTTCATTTTAGTTTGCGCACAAAATTGAACACGTGTGCACTCCACTTTGACACTCGGATTAAGGAAAAGTCACTCCCTCATTTCTTAGTAACCATAGCAACGTCTTGCAACCTGTTCCATAAGGGCTGCTAACAGCATCACAGGGCTGGTAACATGAAACTACGCTCAGTTTTAGGGTGTACATGAAGAGTGTGTCTGCGTGTGTGGTATATCTTTTAAAGAGTTAGATTTGATTTCCCCCTCTTGGTTACTGAACAAAGGAGGCCAACCTGCCCGATCAAGTGTCCATTCAGCCTCATTATTTGCTGTGTGAAAAGAGGAAGAGTGCTTCCAAAGATGAATAAGTAGAGGGAGAAGTGAGAGGAAAGCAAATTAGAGGGCAAAACTGAGGAGTCGGTTGAGCTTCACACTCCATCCCTCTCCCAGACGCTCTCAAATGGAATCTTCAGGTCACGCTTGTTGCCATCATTAAGACTGTGTTGCTATGGCGATGTGCGCAGTTGGTCCTCTCAGCAGCTTCAGATTGTTTCAAAGTGACAGAGGGAATGAGAGCCAGAGAAAGAACTAGGGGAGAACCAGTGCAAGCACGTAAGAAAAAAATTAATGATGTGGGAAACTTATTCCACTGTAATGAGTTTACTCTGTTTTCCGAGGTAATCCACGCCAAACTTTACTTTTAAGTTAAAAACACAGAGAGAGTACCAGTTGAAAGAGAAAAATCAGGTATTAAATCATTGTTTTCTGGGTCCTAGAGATAAACTGGCAAACAATAAAGCTAACAACAATATATGAGAAGATGCTGTAAATTAGCGGTGTCCTCAAGTTGAGTTGGAAACAGTGTCACCATTCTGCAACATCATTTTCATTTTCTTAAGCTATAAAATAGGCAAACATAGTCAAGTTGTACTTTAAAACAAAAAAAGGTCATTTTTTAAAATCAATAAACACCAGGCGCAACATCTACGCATAAAAGTGTTGCAGATAATTTAGGACAACAAAGGCGTTTTGACCTGATAATACACACCATCTTTCTAACATTCCACTGACATAACGGCTGACAGGTAAATGAAAGGAATATCTTTTCTTTTGGCCAATTTTCCTCTAATACAGATAAACCAAAG